TATACGGAAATAAAGAGATTCTTTTTCGCTACATGATATATCATGAATAAAGGTCAGGCAATATCGGTAATAAGTATGCGTATATTTTAATCTACTTGTCAGTTTCGTTTTATTATGATAATGTAGATTTTTGATTAAAGGGGAGTACCAGTTAGTTAACAAAACTGGATAATTCGGGGTGAAAGACTTAAATAGCGTGGTCACAAGTTTCCAAATTTCTCATTGTTTAAGTGCCTATCGTGGTAAAGCTTCATCTGTATTAAAGTTTTTAATTCTATGTTAAACTTTTTAATTGTTCCCACGTGTGCAAAATATGAGAATTTACCCAATCTGAATGTTTTGGCTCAAAATATTAAACCTGTCGGAAATGATCGCAAAAATTGCTCAAGGGGGTTACCTTACCCAAGTGTAAACTTACCTTTCATTCCTTACCTGTAATGAATGACATGATAGGTGCAGCTACCAGATTACAACAAAGTTATAGTCATGGCTATCTAAACACTGCTACTTTAAGTGCTGTATCCATGAATTTGCTAAGCTGATGGCCGCGTTTTATTAACCGAGAAAGTCATGAGTGGGCACCAAAAGTAGATTCGGAGGCATACATGATATGGTCACAAAGTTGCAATTTTTATAAACAAAACTGTGAGAAAATGGTATCAAATAGTTAAATGGTTGCTTCCAGTAATTATTAATGACAGTAAATGCCAGTTCACAATGGATGCTAATTATTCCTTATCTGACTGGTTTATGCCAACACATTGGTTGTGTGTAGGATTGTATACTCAATATTGCACTCAGACCATTGTTACAGTATTTGTTCTTTATGATGAGAACACTTCTTATAACTTCACACATTACTTTTATTGTTCTTCACACATATCATGTACAAAACTTCTTATAATTAAAGACTCCGTAATTAACTTGTGTTGAGGGAGCATGGTCTTATTAGCCTGGCTTGGCACCCTTGGTTGCAATCTCCCAACTAACTTACATGACCGCTCTCCGGTCATAACTGGCCTAGACTGAATAATCTCCTTTGGATTCCTGCTTATAACCCCACTTCTAGACGAAGGACCGCACAAGATTATCATTTGGTTATTGCATCATACCAAAGTAAGCGCTCAGTACAGATTGCTTTACAAGACAAAGGACATTACATAAAGCGGGCCAGCCATAGGTTTATATTATTGTAATGACTAATGAATGCCATCTGAACAACCATGGATGCCAATAACCGACATGGGGATATTTTAATCAATTCCGCTTTCATATGTCAAGATGGCACGATAACGCATCCATAACATCTGCCATTGTGTAACACCATACCAGTGTATTACAATAAAGTACAACCACAAGTAGTCAAATGCATTGAAAAAATTCTCGTCGTGTTTTTATTATTTCACAAACAAACTGTGGAATGAACATGAAACAAAAGTTATGCTGATTTCTAAATATTAGTAGACAGTGTGACTTAATAATTCTAAACCTACGCCGGGCAATGGATGTGGGTATTTTAAACTTTCTTTTAATACCATACTGTGAGAAAACGACAAATATTATTTATAAATGGAATTATTTCTAATATTTGTTTAAAAATAACCCCAGGATATGAAAACATAAATGTATGTTTAAATTCCTAAACATATCTTGAAGTTTCACTTGAGGTATGTTGTATTATTAGACTATTCGAAAGATTACCATTGAAAGTTCTATCATACTAAACAACATCAATCAGAATGTAAATATCATGTTTCTTAAAGTATATCTTAAATACTTAAATCTCTAAATTTTTGTTGACACAACGTAAACATTTACACGTTGTAATAATTGAATTTTCTTTAATGGGACCATATTTCAATAGTATGAAAATGATATAGAATACGTCTAATGGAGACACATTCACTTGATTATATTATGCGATCTTTAGAGATCGTAAGAAATTCTAGTAAATAGCTATAGAAATAGGTTTACAAAGGGGAAACTATGGGCCATGCAGTGTCTCTAATAAAAGACTTGACGTCAACGGATTCATAGCCCGATGATGGCATTTACGAGTAAAGGAGAACACGATGAATAAGCCATTCTTTAAGAAACCCTTACTACATAATTTCTTCTCAGGACGTTATTAATTATGAAGATGGAAATAGATCATTTTGCCCCACCCTTTCCTTGGTTTCTTTGTATACATAACTCACGCCTACCACATAGGTCTATATACTAGCTTATATCTTGAAAGGAAATGTCACTTGTTATTAAGGTTGTCATAGGTGTTTGAGACCTGTAGTGAATTTACATTAACACTTTTATGGTTCATTACCTTTAAAATTAAATAGATGCCACTCGTCTGATATATTTATAGATAACTTACTAAAGGTGACCCCTGTTTTATTCTCAAATCAGGTTTCAAAACATTGATGTTGTAGATTATGCATGTATTGTGAAATTTACGCACATCCTTTAAATGGGGTAAAGGGGATATATGTAAAGGCATGGCTTACTTGGCAAGTCGTATATATTTAAAGTCAATTATTAGTCATTTGGTCGTTTCAAGTTTTTGGTTGAGTAAAGTTAGTGTCAAGTTATTATATTGTTAGTGCCGACTCGGAGTAGATCTGAGGTACTAAAGAACCATACACTAAAACAAATCAAGATGTTGGTAGTCTGGGACACAATGACATCTGTTAGCTTATGTTCTTTGACTAGCGTTCGATTATTCTTAACACTAACTCAACTCAACTTGAAACCAAAACACAATCAAACCCTTGGGTTAATGTTTTGCAAAGAGAACTGGAAATCATTTTTATATTCAATATGGTTAAATTTTGAGCATAATAACTATACTATGTTTGAGTAAAGGCTGACTCTAACCCAACTAGACATCACCCGAGCACTACAATTTAAGTTTGTGTTTGGACAAAATGGCAGTTCAACATTGCCCAAAACCAGTAGGGTAACGAGTGTGTATCGATAGTGCCAACTGAGTCTTTAAACTTGACATGATTTTAAAGCCAATGAATTTATTGAGATGGATGACTAGTTGGTGTAGAGGTGGATAAAAGAAGCCGTTTTCTCTCGAATATCATGACATTCAAACAGTTTATGTTTCAAGTAAACCATGTCTAAATCAACATTTCCTACAAGTGTTAAAAACTTGTTAAATTCTAATTATACCAAAATAACATGCATATGGTGCAATTAATCTTTCTAGTATTCTACAGTTAGCTGTTATTCTGAAACGTAATACAAAAATACGCCTTCATTTGACATCTTGGGTTGCAGAGTTAGTCTTCAGACAGTTCCTAACAATGGAACTATAGGCCGAGTCCTAGGGGAAAGTTGACGTAATGACGACAATACACAATGTGTGGGATGTGGGGATATTTCTCTTGGGTTGCACAATTCTCCTTATTATTCTCTAAATTTTCTTTAATACAACGCAAACTATTATAGCTAATTTGTATCAAGTTTCCTCTTGATTTTCACGATTCTCCATGTTCTGCACTAAGCGTTCTTTAAAGATTTAAATACGAAACTATGTCACAAACTATTAGCGAAGTTGTATCAAGTTCTCTGTTGTATTACACGATTCTGCATTTTATACTCTAAATGTTCTTTAATGGGTTAAATACGAAACGACAACACAAACTTTTGGCTAAGTTGTATCAAGTTTTCTAGAAATAGTGAACATATACCGCCTCGTAACCGCGACAGTAAATGTCGTGGCCAAATGGTAATATAATGATTTGCCTAGAATATGCCACTTTAATATGTCACCAGGTACGTCTGTGAGTAAGTCTGCTAATAAATTATGCAGTGGCTAAAACATAATTTACACATGGTTTTGACTGCGCCAAACCTGTTCCTGCATGATGTAATGAATCATGTTCAACAAAATATTTATAGCGTGTCAAATGTTAAGATTAAACTTTTCAACTCTACACTCCCTTACTGAAGAATTTTTATTTCCCAACGAAACACAATCCCTGACTTGAAAAACGGGTTCTGAGTTTGGTTGGAGCAAAACACCAACCTCTTGCAGGTGTTTCACCGAATTCCACCATTATTTCTATAAATAAACATTATTCCCCTGTCATTGGTTTACAAGTACGTGACGTCACTACATTTCTTTTTAAAGTGTTTTCTTTTTAAACCACGAAACTGTTTCCATTGAGTTCCAGGTTAAAGAAATTAAATATTAGGAAAAATGGCTCATTTAAATAAACAAGCCTTCTTCGCTGATCATGGATATGTCCATAGACGCACAAATTCGTAATGTTTGATTAAGAAAATTCCTTTACATAAGCTCTGTGCCTGTAACAATGAGTTGAACAGAGATCTTTCATTTATGTAATAAAAATATTTGATTTTATTTTGCGGGGGTTGATATTACTTAGTATAATATTTAAAAGGAACTCATATTACAAATAGATGTAGAATTCAGTTCTGGGGACAATAGTATTTTTTTCTAACCCGATTTTAATTTGTTTTCTTGCCTACAATGAACGTGTCAGCATGTTTGTTTTCCATGACAAAATATGTCGAAAGGTGATATTGATACCAGTTAGAATTGTATTTATATTACCTTCAGCACCAGCAATGGGCGGCAGAGGCCAGACTTAATCAAATATATATAATGTTTCTTTTACCTCAGGGCCATTGAGTAAGGCGTCTCATGCTGTTGTTTAACAATAAAACTGTTGTATTCCAAAACTGTTAGATAATAACGAACTGAAACTGTTACTTCAAATATATTGACACAGGTTTGCATACCCATTGTAAGCTTTAAGTCATTTTGTAACACGAATGATTCAGTGTATCTCCGTCGAAAAATGCCTTCCGGTTAACAATTTCCGAATAACGAAATGGATTTCAAGATGACCATAATTTTCGGAGACTATATAATATTCTCCATTGTGCATCTCAGATAAATGAAAATGCTATATATACAAATTTTCATTTAAATGTATTATTAAATATAAGTTCTTATTTGTTTTCAGAGATACAAATTGGGAAAGATTTCATCTAGGAATCAACCAGTATAGCCTATACTCTCCGGACGATTCTTCTATATCATCATTACTTAAAGACATGAATCGTATGCCTATTGTAGATGTTGGTAAGTTCATATAAATACCCATCTACTTGTTACTTTTTATACAAACTCGGGTTAATGATAAACACAGGACAGCTAAAATGGGGGAGAGCGGCAATTCAGAGCGCAGACATGTAGTTTGATATACAGTATTAATATTAAAGCCACAAGAAGCCAGGCCATACACACATCGTAAACGTCAAACATATTAATGTACTATTTTAATGTAAAAACGCGTGTTATACGTATGTAATTAAGAATCTAATAATAACAAAAATATTTTACGAAGTATGAACTGGTTTATATGAACAAGATATCGGAATTATAATAATGATGGCGGCCTGAAATCAATAGATAACAATGTAAACTTGAAATGGCTATTCCACCCATGTGAAAAATTTATTGACGAGAATGATTTTCGATAAAAACCAGTTCTGGTTGTGTATGGTCTGAAGCTCTATATTTTAAATTTAGTCTGACATGTGGAGACTATAACCGTGTCACATTTCCATTTTTGTTCATGATTAAGACAGAAATTATTACATGCATACAAATTACTGGACTGGTATTTAAAGATACCTTCCCGCGTAGAAACTGTGCGATTTAATGATGTATTTGGACTAAAAACATATTCAAACTAGTTAATCTATCAAAAATTTGCTTCAAATCCTTTCAAAACTTTGTATTCGCGAGGAGATATCCCTAGCTATAAAAATCTATTTTTAGAAGCCATGTTTATCACCTAACTTGATTGAGGGAAGGTCCATTTTTCATAATGTAATTGTCATTACTTACCTCTTTCACAATATATTTTGAGACCTAAGTAAATTCTTGAATTATGTTCTGCCAACTTCTTTTTCCTTCGTTTAATTGCACCCCTCAATGTTCCCCAAACCGCCCAACGTTTCGATCAAGAAATAACGACCGCTTCGTAAGTACAGCTGACAGACAATTAGCCGTCGGGTTGCCAGTTGGTGATACCCTGACATGTTTTACCAGTGCTTGCCCACTGCATGTTTTTCGGGTAATCCAGTATATTCTTAGTAAGATTGGGCGTCTATACTTCCATATATACCAAATTTGCAATAACCTTTTTTTGGAAATACCCACCTGATAAATACTTTCGGGACAATGTATCTTTAAGAGAGAGAGAGAGTGAGAGAGAAAGGGTGGGTGGGGGGGTGGGAGGGGTAAACTAGGTCATTTCAATTCGCTTATTGTGGTATAATTTGTACATTAAACGTAATGATTATATATTAATTAAATATATGTTACAAGGTATTAACTCCGTACCGTGGTTAAGAAGAACAATTTTAATAGAGAGAGAATGGAATGAGCTTTAATGTCCACTCGACACAAACAATAAGACTGTAACATCGTTGACTTATTTCAAAGTGTAGCAATATTCTTTAATTAAGAAAATTGTTCGGTATCAACAAATTTTCAAATTCTACACACATTGTCATTGGGTTTAATTTAATCTCGACTTCTTTATCGATGTGCCTTTACCGAAAATACCTTTGTTCACATAACCAGTTGCTCTTTATACTCTTAAACCTGTAACCCCATCTTGTATCAAGCACTTGCTTCTAATTACAAAAAGAACCGGTTAAAGGAATTGCAATATTTTTCTAATACTTAAACGCTACTTCAGTGCACTTTTAAGTACCGCTAATTTATTATAAGTCAACAGATAACACCAAATGAATAAAGAAAAGGGTGAAATGCACATCGATTGCAGGAGCCCAGGTCCTTCAGGATTTTAAGATTTTCTTTTGAGCAAACGGATTAACATTCATTTCTTCGTTTTATCTCACAATGTAACATTTACTTTGGCAAATACTTGACAGAGTGCAAGAAATCTAGATGTTGACTATCTCTTGCAGTATAGAGATATTAGGCAAATAAATGGTATAATCGTTTATAATGAGCAGTAATGAAAAGTCAGTAACTATTCTGTATGCTTTAGAAAACTTGCCGAGCATATTTAAACATAGTTTAACTTAAAGATCCATTGTCTTAAAGATACATTATTTTAAAGATCCATTGTCAGTTACTTCTATTAGTATATCTTTGGATATAAATAGCATATTAATAGTAGCAAACTGAGATCACTTGATATAATAAAGTAATTATGGGTTTTTTTCTGTTTCCATAAGCGAAACATAACATTTCAATTTTGTTGGCGGGACATATCTGCAATAGTACCAGCAGAGTCATGCTTTATATCAAACATAAAACATTCAAAATATAACGAAATGGCGTCTAATGTCTTACTTTTTTGCATCAACTTCAACAGGGATTATTACGATGGGCATACACGATGCAATTGGCGATGGGGTAAATTTTACGCATATCCTTATTAGACCTCCGTAACATTTTAGTGCACAAGTTTTCTATAATGCTGATTTTTTTTCAGATATGAAAGAAGGGGGAACTCAGCTGAAATTAATAATAACATTTGAAGATGAGGGCCAAGCTTTAATGAAACCGATGAGGTTAGTGTAGAAATCTAATATCCTTCTCATGTGGAAGCACACCAGGTTTTCTAATATTATGATATTTTAATAACAAAAGAAACAAAAACTATCGATAAAACTCAAAAGAAAACATAAAGAAATTTCGTTCAATCGACTTGATCCTTTGAAAAGTCCGAACTATTTTTTTTATGTGTTTGATGAATGATAATCTACCCATACATTTGCATTCAGGTGTTTGCATATTTGTTGAACAGTTTTACCTGTTTGTGGATTTTATCAGCAGCAACAGCTTAAACATCTTAAATATTATTGACACGCTCTGACACTGGATTTACAGTTTTAAATAAATTTAACGAAAAATGTTAATCAGTCTAATAGAAGGATAAACAAACAGTCGTCTAAATGTTACATTCTTTTATGGGATTGTTTAACAACTCTAGAAAGCAAACCAATAGGAATGCAAATTTAATATGACGCTTAAAACATTTCGACACTTTTAAGATTTGTCTAAAGGATCTCCAATGGCCTCGTGTTAAAAAATAAAAATAAATATTATGTTCTTTTTCTTCAGATATCCAAGAAGTCAAGAAACCCTCCCAAATCATTTTTATTTTGTAGATTATGAACGCCATAATGCAGAAATAGCTGCCTTTCACCTTGATCGGTGAGTGTGATAATAGCTTATACAAACAATACAGATGTCAATACTATATTCAACTGTTCCAATGGTTACCTTAAGTAACCCCGGTGTACGATTAACCTATGTCATACACGTAGCAGAGTATATGTTTCTAAAACACTTAAATGTTATCCACGTATTCACTCAAAATTTCCAGTCAGTTAATATTTATGGTACTCTTACTCTCCAACGCCTTAACTTTAATCCACGTCCAATTCTTTTCTCTCTGGAAAGTCACAATATCTTTGATCTTTGGTCGAGAAAGTTCTTCGTGATTTTTCCAGCCTGGAAGTGGGTGCAGCGCAAAGAGTCTGGCAAACAAAGTGTCTAGTCCTTCGGATCGAACAAAAACCCGAGGTCCTGTGTTTCCATTTGGTTTAACATTAGAAATAAACCCTTCGTGTGTTTGTTCAAGAAATAATCAATGATAGTTCGTCAATTGATTGTTCGAAAACAAACCTGTCCAGGCAAAATGTAGCACACTGCATGGTGTAAGACATTAAACCCCATTTCATGTCATTTTTTTTAATTGATTAAAATTCATTCAATTTTCCATCAGAATAATATGTAATGATTTAAACAATATTTTTTCGTTAATAGAACGTTTGGAATTTGTTCTTATTTTACAAACTTCCCCTAGTCAGCAATGCAGATGTTTGGCTTTGTTGGTTGTTTAAAACAACCTGTTTCTACACAAGAGTAAGCAGTTTCTTTACCTAGTAGAATAATACTATTATTCTAGTATATATGTCTATTTCTTAAACATGTCTTGGTTTATTTGCTTACTCTCAGTTCCCGTGTCTTTCAGTGCCTTAGGATTTTACCGCGTGCCACCAACAACCGGTCGTCTGCTTAATATGACAACAGAAATAAAGAAGTTTGCAGATCGCAAGTTAGCCAAAACTTTCTTTTATTCTCCCGGTAAGATTTGGGTCCTGGAATTTTATCCCAATGCAGATTTGATATCTTTTGATCTAACAAGGTTGCAGGACGTACACAGACACATCCCAACTTTATGCAATGTGTTTGCAAACACATATATTTACATTTGAGTGTCGCGGTCATGTTTGGCGGTGTATTCTGTGGACAATTCTAGATGATATTCGATTTTCGTTCAGTCTACACCAAGGACAAACTCAGTACAAAAGCATGCCCAAACATACACATTCTTTTTAAACAATAGAAAATAAAAAACGCAAGTTATTTCTCTGTTCAGGTCGGTGGCCCTATTTACATAGGCATATTAAAAGTAACAGACGTACGTAGTACCGCAATGACCATGTTTGTATCGAGTGGACATTTAACCCCACTTCCCTTTCTCACTAGGAAGCCACGGTGGTAGGACGTTGTCTCTCTAACCTGGAGGTCCTGTGTTCGATCCCTGCGTTTGCCGAGAAAGGTCATCGGGATTTGTGTCGAGTAGATATTAAACCCCACTTCCCTTTGTGAGTAGGACGTTGGCTCGCTAACCCGGAGGTCCCGTGTTCGATCCCTGCGTTTGCCGAGAAAGGTCATCGGGATTTTCGGCGTGATTCCCACTTGTCAGTGGTGTAGAACCGAGGGCCTGGCAATGACAGCGTATAGTCGTTCGGATGGGACGTAAAGCCGAGGTCCCCTGTACACATTGGCGTGCAAGTAAAAGAACCCTTGACATTTGGAATTCGGAATAAGCGTAGGCCGTAGCGCCGCTGTCCGGCCCAATTTTCCCCATAGCATACTGCATGGCGTATGACCGTCTTCATTAGCCCAGTAGGCGCAGAACAGTAGGAAGTTAACCCCCATTTCATTTCCTTTCTCACTAAAAATACGTTACTGTTGAACACAACAAACCTATCACCGGCTATATGTTTTAACAAATTAATAGTCAAACATGACCAAATTCCTTATTTTATTTAATTATTCGGATCAATGGTGTGTTTATGGTCACGTACAATGGGCATTTAAGTCTAAATAAACTCGTTTGTCCAGTTTGCTCCCCTTCTCGGTCGATTTCCTCCAAAGTAAATATTGATGTTTTGACCTGTAAGTTCAAATACTAACAAACTTAATTTGCAATGTTCAGTTGACTAACACAGGGACTAGTGTTTTACACACATGTCAACATCTGTGTTACCGGATTTACAATATGTTTTAATGTGAAACCAATACTGTGCAACCACACAAATTTGGATGGTCATGCATTTGAAAAAATGGTTTTGCTTAAATAATAGTTTTGGATAGAAAAATCTGAGCTCTCTAAGCATTGTAATTTTAAACATTATTTCAATGATCACATTTTGAAATCGGACGTTTCGACTGGATCCTTTGAACTGCTGGTACTCCGTGATTCTTATCGTTCGTCCCGGGTACACATTTAGAGTGCTCGCAAAACTTCAACTAAACGGCATTTCCCGGCGATATTCTCCTACTTGGAACTCCAAGTAATCCTATTCATTCCCATTCCATTTCATAACAGGTCACCAATATGCATTTTTTTCTTTTTTTATAGCTGGTAATCTGTGTTTTCACGGTTCGTGTTCCTATTACTGTGATACATCCCATGCTATCTGTGGTCATCCCGATACCCTTGAGGTTTCCATGGCAACGTTCCTACCCCCGGAGGAAGTTGCCAACAGAAAGACATGGCGGAACCCCTGGAAACGATCTTACAGTAAACACCGGAAAGCCTATTGGGAGGTATATGATGATTTATGCGATAAAGTCCGAGAGCGTCCACCGTATAATCAAGGAAGACGTCTTTTAGATCTAATGGATATAACAATATTTGACTTTATAATAGGTAAGTTATGTCTTTCAAATTTAGTAATTTCAGATGGATTATAAAATCCTTTGTACCGCGCTACCTCCATTCCATAAAAAATAAAAATATTACCTGTGAGATGATATGGAGTTAATTTCTTTCTCGATCTGGCTAATGAAGATGGACATACGCTATGCAGTGTGCTACAAGGGGGATTTTGTCCGGATATTGGCTGCTCCACCTATACTCTTATCGAAATCCATCTCTAAGCCGACGCTTTTTCATTGTCAGACCCTCGGTAGGCCGGCTGCATCACTGACAACTATGAGCCGGATAGGCTGGCAAATACCGAGAATTTTCTCAGCCATCTCATGAGCTACGGTTGTTGGTTCATGGGGGAATTTGATTATATACAAATCATATACATGACGTAAATTCGGGTTTCGTTAATTTAAGGCCTGTTTGGGACCCATTTTTATATGTGTATATCAGTAGTTTGCTAAATATTGTACTTGATGGCTTTAAGATTCCATATGGGTTGTATTGATTAGCATTATAACTTACGGTGGACACATATCACTCTCAATTTGAGACATTCTTGCGAAGTTTTAGCGTGATCATGTAACTGTTATTTTAGGGTTAATTTACAAATGTGAAAACAACCACCCGCGAATAATAAACTAAGAAACATTTTTATAGGAATGAAAATTAAATACGACTCTGGAATAAAAATAGGTCCTTATGTTTCTGATGTTTCAAAACTTTTTCCTATTTAAAAAGACAACAGATCCAAATGAAAAGTATACAAATTGTTGGCATGTCAAACTGACAACTTGATTAAAAGCTTGGGCAAATGAGATTAACTAACAAAACACTCGCTTCCTTATTAAATTCTTACGCTTTAACAGTATTTTAGTTTACAGGATGCTAAAATGGCAAGCCTTGCATTTATAAAGAGAATGTGCCAACGCTTAAACTTAACAATAAACAGATGCAATCTAAATACTTTCCGAGTTAACCATGTTTTCACTTTTATTCAATTATTTGGAGATTTTTTTGTTTTCCTTAATTGACACTTTGTGTTGGAAGGTTTCCACATAGATTGATCGTAAGAAGCCAACTTAGATATAAAAGAGTTAATTTGAAACCCCGCGTGTCTTAATGAAATTGAGGTGTTTGGTTCTAATTATTCTCTAACCACGATGAGTTTTTATTAGCTCGTGAAGTGTTTAATTCTAATTAGCTACCACTTTGCGATATAAAATCAGTTTACATATGAGTCAGGTTACTTGGTTTCGTTACTAAGTTAGAAAGACTACAACCAGGGCAATGACATTTTAACTCGTCCGTCAGGAATTCTATGATTGTTGATGAGTCTTGATGTTGTCAGTCAAGTTAAGCAAGTATTAACTATTCATTTTTTCTTTACCATCGGTTATACACGTTTAGCAGAATTGAATTATTTTAAGATGGAACCGAATTAAGAAATTCTTTAGATGTAGGTTTCCTGGTCAAAAGGGCACCGTATGGGTATAGCATTAGGTGTGTCAATAGATAAAATCTCCGTTGCTTTAATAATCTCGGGTGGAATAAGAATTAAATATGAAAACTAACATAAATTGTCAATAATGTTCTTGTTTGTATAAGAGCAGTTGTGGCTTAGTGAGTAAGGAGTAGGGTCGCCTGTCCAACCTCGTGGGGTTTCTCCGCGTCCTCCGGTTTCCTCCCACTGCTAAAGACCCCTATGCGCAAGCGAATTATTGAAATAAAATTAAACCATATGTTAGTCCCGAAATTACCTAGTTTGTGTCGTGTGGACGTTAAACCCCATGTCTCTCTCTTAGTGAGTAAATCGCTAGCACGCAAACCAGAAGGTCTCGGGTTAACTCCACTCGTGGTGTTCCCTTGTCAGTTGTGAAGGACAGGGGGCCTAGCTAGCAAGAAACAGTATCTAGTCATTGGGGCGGAACAAAAAATGAGGTCTTCGTAGTACACTGCATGGTGTTGTTTTCTCGTCTTCATTAGCCCAATCGGTTCAGAAACGTAGGCCATTAAACTCCGCTTCATCTCATTTCCTATTTGTGTAATCTTGGAGCAAGGTTGTATGGTGTCTGCAGTTTGCCTACACATTCGCTTTCGTTGGATAACATCGGGTGCAAAACACAAAACAAACAAAAATTATTCGACTCATTTTTGCTCTTGATTAATAGAGAATCTCCCATTTTTGATATAAAAAAAAAGATGAGTAGTAGATTTTATTTATCACCCAATCCTTTCTTGCATGCACAAATAAATAAATATAATTCTTTGCTATAGATTTTACTTTTACCGAAACTGATTACATTACGGCGTAGTTATACATCATTTTTTGACAGCAATTCAACCATTGCAAAATCCTTTATATTGACACAGTGTTTCCTTCAAGTTCATTTTTAATAATAATAAAAAAATAAGTTACTTTTGATACAAAAAAAATGAACTGTTCTTTGAAAATAACAAAAAATAGTCCCTTTTTAACTTGCCAATCAAATTCATGCAAAGCGATATCTTCTAAGGATATATCGCAGTAGATTATGAAATTTATCACACAAGCAATATCTACTGTAAAATGTATTTTTGGGTGATAAAAGATCATCAACCTATTTTAACTGTTCTGCAGGTAATATTATCGTGAATGCAGGCGCTCATTAAACGTTTCTGGCTGAGTTTCTGAGCCTTTGCTTGGTTCACATGCTATATTTTTATGAATGCGAGGTAGTAAAAGTGCATTACTTGTAGTTGGTGTATTTCTGGTTTGATTTCATGGCTGTCTTCGCCAAGACTGAAGCAACATTTAGGTGCAACAAATCGGTGGTTTATAGCATTACACTGTATAGTTGTTTTTGTCTATATAAGTAACTGCCCGAGGTTTAAACAGTATCGATATGTCTATACTATGTCATTTGTGGTTGTCATTCAATGTAAACAGTTATACTGTTTTCTGAATAATACATATTTTTATATATTAGACAGGTAATATGTATAGGATACAGGTATATTCATACATCCATCGTCTATGACTGTCCCATAATATAGAAACTATGTAGACCATATGACCTATTTTTTTTAAATACTAACTCTTAATTATTGTTTTATGGTGTTTCTCGGGGTTAAATTTTATCTCCAAGCTTGGGATTAATCCATGTTTTCATACAATAAAAGCTAAATGTTCAACTTCTTGCTGCCTTTTCATTGAAGTAACATTGCGTTGGGGACTTTACCTAAACGTGAGTCACAGGGGCTCAGTGAGTGTAAGGCGCTATTCACTAGGCCGAGAAAGGTCTTTGGTTATTTGTTTCAGTCATATTGCCCCTAGTCAGTAATGCAAGGCGGGGGACCTGGTAGGGAACAGGCGGAAAACCACCAAAGTCACCGTGTTCATACACAATACATTTAATAATAACCTTTTAATGTTTAAACTAATTAATGTTATTAACAAGAATAAGTAGGTTGTATTCAGGATTCACAATAGTATGCAACGGATTGTGGATTATCGTATTGAGCGAGCAATTTATTACAATATACTAATTTCTGGCTAATTTACTAAATATTTCTAGTTTTCGTTATTTCAAAGTGGTTTATTTGCTCATTTAAAACATTTCAAATGGGTGTTGGTGAAAGAATGTGCTTATTGGAGCCACGGTGGCTCAGTGAGTAAAATGTTGGCTCCATAAACTTGAGGTCCCGTGTTCGATCCCGATGTGGGCCGAGAAGGTTCATCGATATTTTCCGGCGTTGCCCCCTGTCCCCCGTCCGCAAGGCAAAACGTATAGTCGTTCGGATGGGACGAAAAATCGAGGCCCCGTATACACACAGGCGTGCACGTCAAAGTACCCTTGACAGTTGGAATTCGAAATATAGATAGGCCGTAGTGCCGCTGTCCGCTCAAAATGTCGGTGCAGTAGAACGTTAAACCACATTTCATTTCAGAATGTCCATACTCATCGAGGAAAGAGAAAATTATGTGTATTTACAGTAAATCGTAGATCATAGTAGATTTTACATGGACTGGAGTCTTTGCATTCTACATATTTTATAGAGTAGTCCGTTAACGAACCCTAGATGCCGCGGTGGTTCACTAAGTAAGGCGTTGACTGGTTCGATCCAGGTGGTGGTCGGGAAAGTTTTTTTCCCGCGTGGTTTCTACTTGTCATTGGTGCAAGGCTGATGGCCTGGCAATGAACAGCTTCTAGTCGTTCGGATGGGACGAAAATCTGAGATCCAGTGTACACGAACATTATATTATATCACACTGTATAATGTAAAATATAATGTATTCATATGTTACACGAAGCTGGGCATCGGTAAAGAAAAGGGTGTCATGTTCCTAGGTAAAACAAAGTATTTGAAATATATAAATCGTGACAAAGTATACTTGCACGAAGAAAGATACACATACGATAAAGTTTCTAATTTGAAAACAAAATTCTGTCAATAAAATGACACAATAGTGTGACATTTAATACAGTAAAAAAGTAAGCAGATCGCAACTGTTTGTGTTTGCTGGAACTACATTGACTGGCTCTATAAGTAACTCAAAATGAAATGAAAAAACATGGGGTTTAAAGGTCTACAATTTTGCTCCGACCGGCTAATAAAGGCTGACATATGTACGCGATGCAGTGTGCTATGCGGTTACATTTTCCCGGACAGCGGCGCTATAGCCTACTCTTATTTCAATATCCAACTTTCAGGGGTTCTTTTATTTGAAAATGGGTGAAAGAGAACAGGTGCTGAATATGAAAAATAAATTGTGAGCTAATTATTTTGTTGTTTATTTTTTCAGGTAATATGGATCGCCATCATTATGAAACGTTTATAGATTTTGGTAATGACACATATCCTATCCATATGGACCATGGACGAGGGTTAGTATCGCCTATGTTAAATTTAATACTAACAGAGAGAGAGAGAGAGAGAGAGAGAGAGAGCGAGACAGACAGAGAGAGACAGAGAGACAGAGAGAGCGATGGGTTTAACGTCCACTTGAAACAAACTAGGTCAATTCGGGACTAACATATAGTTCAATTTTATTTCAATAATTCACTAGCGTAGGGGTCTTTAGCAGTGGGATGAAACCGGGGGACCTGGAGAAAACCCACGAGGTTGCATATGTGGCACTACTCCTTGTCACTTATGAGCGGAGATTTTAAACCATGCCATTATTCTCAATGACAAACCTTGTGATCAAACGTGCACGCGTTAACCATTCGGCCTCCCAACCCTCCTTGTACTAGCAGAGTTGTCTCCCTAATAACCTGTACATTTATTCTCAAAACTAGTCTATATTCTCTAGCAGACCTTATTATGTATAAACCATAAATCCACGGCTTCTAATATTTTTTTTTTTTTTTTTTTTTTTTACTTATCGGCCCTAACCCCCTGTCCGACGATTGTCCGTCCGTCGTCGTCTTCTTCAAAACCGCACAAATTTGATTGGGTGATGCTTCTTTAGACTTGAATGAATACAGTTTCTTATGCATTTTTTAAATTACATTTTTAGGAATGTTGGTTGTTAGGTATACTTTCACAATTGTAAACATTTTCTCATGGACAGCTAAATTTTTGGTATTTAGATATTCTGTTTGAGCCCACCGATTGACGTTTAAACCAATGTAATTAAAACACAGATCCTATTTGGTTTCTTTTTACTTATCTTTACTACAGTAGGATCTGGAACAGTTGTTAAACAACCCGCGTTGTATTTCCAAATACCCAATAGAAACATCGACGCTGATTGGTTAATCAAATGTCTGACGCCATAGGGTCAAAAGCCACTCGTATGACCCCGTTAGTGCTAAATGATAAGGCCAGCTCAATTTTTCGTCATTCCCCATAGATCACAAGATGTAAACAGGGCTAGTGCTAATCCCAACCCAAGCCCTAAACCTGGCCCTAGCCCAACCCTAACCTACAATCTCGCCAACAATCACGTACCCTAACCATGACAAAAATTGAGCTGGCCATAACAAATAGATTTAGCCTGCATGACCCCTGACGCGAGCTACCACTACAACCTGTCAGATCATCGGAGAACTCTAGATCGGAGACGGTCCTGTACATTTTAGCACATATGACGTCATATGTGGATTGTGGGTTAGGATAAGGACCAGCAGATTTTGCGCTAATTAACTCTAACCTTATCCCTGGACCAAGCCTAACCCTTACCCTAACCCTAACGTACAATCCACATGTGCAGGACCGTCTCGGATCTAGAGTTTTCTCAGATCATGTAAGGGCCATTGAAAGTAAACCCACTTTGCTCTGTTCATCATTGTTCATAATTTTTATTATTTTATTCTTCAGATTTGGTAAACCTAACCACGATGAAATGTCAATAATGGCGCCGGTATTGCAGTGTTGTCTTATAAGATATTCCACATTTATTAAACTGGTTAAACTTTACAGGGGCCCACAAACACTTAGTGATGTATTTGAATCATTTGCAAGCCAAGAAACTATAGCACCAATATTAACCAAACCCCACTTGACAGCCATGAACCGACGAGTCGCCATAATATTGCAAGTTGTTGATAAATGCTTAGAAGATAACTCTGTTGATGAAGTTATTGTTGATGACCACATTTAACCAATTTCAACCATAGTGATAAGATTGTTTATTGACTATCTGTTGAATTATCGTGTACTGATAGTGTGCAAACTATTTTCTTAGCGTGCATATTTTCATAATTGTGTGTAGACTATTTTACCGTGTACAGACTGTGTTAATCGTGTGCAGACTATCTCATAGTGTGCAGACTGTATTGTTTGTGTGTATCTTGTGTAAATCGAATATAGACTTTGTGCTGTGGTCATGGCGTGTGTAAACTATAATGTACTGATCGTGTTTAGAATATGTGTTGACTATTTGTAAACTGCGTGCCGACCTTTTGTAGACTGTGTCGTTATGCCCTTTTATAGATTGTATCGTTATGCCCGTTTGTAGACTGTGATGTTATGACCGTTTGTAGATTGTGTCGTTATGAACGTTTGTAGACTGTGACGTTATGACCGTTCGACTGCGACGTTCAGATTGATTGTAGAATATGACATTATGATCGTTTGTAGACTGTGACGTTATAGCCGTTTGTAAAGTGCAACGTTCTTATCATTTGCACAGCCGTATATAGAGCTTTGATAATTTGTAGACTTGCTGTTCTGTTCGTTTGTAGACTATGACGCTGTGAGCTTTATGTAAACTGTTATGCACCGGTCGTCATTCTGGGCTGTTTACTTTACCCATCATGTGCAATATACGCTAATTGCTATAGTGTTTAATGTAGAATATGCCACCGCAGCCGTTTGTCGCATAGTATCAGATTTGCGCGTAATTGTGATAACATGCTTCAAAATTCCTTTCCGAAATCCACCTTATATTTCATATTTTCGCAAGTATTCTTGTGTAATCATACTGATATAAGGCGTAAATAACAAATATGTGGACTACACTAACGCATTAAACAATTTCGTTAGTACAAATCAGGGTTCGTAGTTCAAATTGAAGCTTACGCGTCTGATACATGCAACATGGCCAATATAATACCGATATATCCCCAGAATCGTACAGTGGTGAAGCAGGTAGAAGGACTTCAGGATTGCTTAAAAGCAAATGTTGAACTGGCTAACCAAGATGGTTATAACACCGTATTGGACTGTCTATAGCCTGATACAGTCAAAGAAAGCCAGATATCTGCTAAGAAGAATCCAGCCTTTAGAGGACATGTCTGTTAATCGATCTCAGCTGAATATGAATAGTGGATATTCACTTTGAGTTTGATTTTTTTGTAAAATTTTACACCTAAAAACTTTAATACACAAAAATATAAAAGTGTTTGAAAAAAGAACTACATTACTAGTCGATTACTAGCACTTACGCTTACTGAAGAGCTTAATAAAATAAGCGAAAGTGCTAGCAATCGACAAATAATGTAGTATTTTTTTCAAAAACTTTTATATTTTTGTGTATTTAATACCTAAGAGTAGTTATATTTAACTATTCATATATATATTTACAAGTTTGGGTGCGCAAATATGTGCGTGTGTGCGTTTGTGTTGAACAGCAAATATAATAATAATAAATGACATATTATGGGTGATTGACTCGGCTAATCTTCGTGGTCTTCATTTTGAACATTAGAATAGTGATGAAATATGTGATGCCCCCCCTACCCATCCCTGTCTTGATGGCCGAGGCCGTTTCTAATGTATACATTTCTGATGATTTTCGCAAGGAATATTTATTCTACTTTTGTTTTGCATAGGGGTTCTCATTTCTCTATTACAGATATGTGTTGAAATAAACGTGGAAATAAGTTATGTGCGTGCAGTCATGCCGGGTTTAGTTTAGGATACCTACCCATAGAGAGCGTGCTAAGAACGCTGATGTATTTGATGTGTTTAAGAGTGTTGTGTTATTTTCTGTAGTTCTGCTTCAATCTGTGTGATGTCCCGTGTGAATGATATATGTTCTTGTTGTTATTATAAATAAAAAGTGCTAAAAGCAGATCTATCTTTTAAAATAAATCATGTGTTATAAATATTAATTATATTGAATTGTTGTTAAAGATGCAATGAAATTACTGTGAGAACTCGATTATTATGTTTAAAAATTATTAAAAAACAACATCTCAAATTCATTTTGTAATAAAATGAAATGCGGTTCAACACGTCTGTCGACACTTAGTTTTTGCTTTAGACTAACATTCATTTTTTTAAAAAATGATACGATTACATGTGAGCAGTGCGAGTGGGATGTAGATAGGTTTTTCTAAGACGTTAACGTCGGGTTCAAGCACGTAAAACGCACTTACAAAAGACTACCTATTAATTTCACCAATCACTAACGTTTTAGACAGCATCTGTGGGCTAAGTAGAATGCAATATATTGCGTTATGCTAATGTAGACCTATTGGTGTATCTTTTTATCTTTTACAAACAAATCGCTGACACTGTGTATGATAACCTACAATCATACAGGCTATTTTATACAACATTTAAATCAGCTGTTTAAATTAGTTTGATCAAAACATTCCGTTTGATTTTATATTTTGTTTATTTCAAATATGGTTTGGTGTATTCTTTGAATGGCATTTGGTAATTGGAACATGATAAAAAAAAACCCCAAAAAACACTACTTATGGATAACAATTACATGTTTTATTATACTGCGACTTTTCAACAAGACTTCACAAGTCGTTATCAAGCATACTTGAAATCTTGTTCAAACGTCTTGGTGTATAACGTGCTTTGCTATAGTTCAGGTTTATTCGGTTTTACGTGGGTAAATGAGTTGGTAATTGTTTAAAGGGAGGTAATTTCAAATAATTGGTTTTGGGTTATGCGGTTTGTTTTTTTGTCTTTTTTACGATACATGTATGTAAGACAGCATTTGAAAAATCCAACAAAGACAATGTAAGCTTGGGTATTTATATAGCTCAGCAGTATTAAAGAGGCGTTATGTAATATTTAGTTAAAGATCGACCGGGTCGTTATTGCTATCCTATTTCAAAAATCGACATGAAAAAGACCCGCAATAGATAAATTTAGTTCTTGTCTCGTTATTACTGCTGAGCTATGACAAGTACAATAACAGGAATAGTGCGTCAATGTGCATTATTAACCGCATTTAACATATAGTGGGAATTGACTGGGTATCCTATTTGTTATAAAAAAAAGTGCTTTTTAATAAGAATATTGTGACATAATGTGTAATATAAATGATACTATATGTACATTTGGTTATATTAAGCAGAGTGTATATTATATTAATTTTTAATTATTTACACATATCACAAATCAGTATTGTAAATAAAATGCATATATATTTGAATCTGGTTTTGTCAGTTTTTAACTAAAGAAATGTTTAACTGATTTTCCTAAGTCAGATACATAATATTAGTTCATTATTTCGTAAAATGTGTGACCTTATAAAAGCGACATGCACACTTGGACAAGCTTTATTGGCGTTGTACACCTGACAGTAATATAGCTTTCAGTTTAAACAATTGTCGTTTGTCAAAATAAAACTGACGGTATGTATTTCTTTTAACAATTATCACGAAGCTTCAAGTTTGGATCTAAGAAAAACGTGTATCACAGACTTTTACGATGATCGTGAGTCGAAGTGACATATTGATAAATTGGATTCTAGCTAGAGTCTAAAAAGCAACAACTGAACAATGTTGTCTCGATTTTAGATAACCTCCAAGGGCCAACACTCACTTTTTAGGAGCTAAATCGCTAATATTTGGGACCTACAAATTGACACAAATGGGTCGCAACGTATATAATAATGTAATATGAATGTAAATAAACTGATTTACATTCAATCGTTTCCGTTTTTACTCTAATTTCAAAGCAGTTATGTTCGGCGAAATACGCCAGAAGTCACAATCCAATGGCAATCTTTAGCGTCTGGTTATTCCAGTCTACACCGATAGTATTTATTGCGCATGTTCTCCAGATAAGAATATGAGGTCATCGTTTGACATGACTTGTGGAATATGTCTAACCTCGATCTTCGAGTCGCTTGTTACAATTTGCGCTGAAACGCATTATGGTACACGATTCGTGTACCAATCGTAAAATGTTTATTTTGTCTTAAATATTGGATATCAGAAGCCCATCTTTTTCCGGTAAGATCACAACACCAATGTTGATTAAAATTGACAAATAATTCGTGTTTTCATTGTCGAAGGTTTTGGATGATATTGAGTTAGAGACTTAGCTACTTTAATGTTTGGAACTGTTTCTATTTTGCTTTCCCAGCCATAACAACAACACTTTTCTGCAACTAATTAGGAACAACTCATAACACAGATGTTTCTATTTTGCCACCTGTCGTAACTTTATTAATTCAGAGCCATGTTAAATATGTTACATAAATCTAAAGTTACTGTATAAATACACCCGTATAAAACCATTAAAATGCCACTACAATAACATAATAATACATATCAAAATACAATCGATACAAATCAAGCATCGGTGACAATGTGGATGGTATGCAGTTCACATAGTTCACGCTAGCATTTTAACATAACTCTAACAATAAGCACAGGAGGACAGTACCACCCGCAATCAAAACCGATAAGACAAACCTGCGGACAAACCACAAGCCAAGACTTGTCTGTATTAACTGGACGCCATACATTGTGCTATAAGGGGAAGTTTTGGCTAACAGTGGTACTACGACTTAATCTTATTTTGAATATCAACCGTTAAGGGTTCTTTTACGTGCACATCAGTGAATCCACGAGACCTCGCTTTTTCACACCATCCGAAAGAATAGGCACTAACCTTGCCAGGCCCCAATCCTGAACCACTGAAAAGGGAAAGCCCAGAAAATCCCGAGGAACTTTTTCTGCTGACACCGGGAACGAACCCAAGACCTCCTGGTTTGCGAGCCAACGTCTTACTTATTGAGCCACCACGGAACAAGACACAATATACACATATGTTGAGAGCAATAACAACAAATATCAAACCAAGTGAATGGATCCGGGGCCAGCTATACATGTCCATAGTGGTCTTTGCTGAATGCCGTTTCTTGACAGCGATAGTCTGTCGGTTGAAAGGTTAGCACGTGCGCGCTGTATCATAAGGCCTGTCATTGAGTCAACTGGGTTGGTTTCGAATCCCCGGTTGTACGTGACAAGGAGTAGGGTTGCCTGTCCAACCTCGTGGGTTTTCTCCGATTTCCTCCCACTGCTAAAGACAGCCACGCGCAAGTAAAATTAAACCATATGTTGGTCCCGAAATGACCTAGTCTGTGTCGAGTGGACGTCAAACCTCATTTCTCTCTCTCTCTGTCGGTTGAAAGCAATAGACTGGGTCATAATGTCTCCTCAATAAGATGGTTCGGCCTGTTCAAGACAAATGTATGGAGTTTTTCTTTTTTTTTAGAGTTACCAGCTGTGCAACGCGAGGTAGGGCAGAGGGTTTGCCCATATACTCTTCTTTGAATTACATCTGTGCACGTCAATATGTACGAACAGGCACACTTACCTGGGCACCCTTACCTGGGCACACTCGCAGACAAGTGAACGCCGGGCTTTAATTATCCCAAAGGTGTAATTATTAAATCATAGAAATGTCTAATTAGCAAAAGGAACAACTTCTATCACATGTTAATGTGTGTACAACGTTTCATAGAGACAAACAAAATCACGACAAAAGAAGCAAAAGAGTCTGTAACATTTTTTTGAACATTCCGATGATCTTAATCTTTATAACCAAAAAGAGCACAGCATGTCTGCAATGTGAAACAGGGGTCATAAATATATAACTAATAACAGAAATCGCTGAATTTGACAAACTGCCTGTCTCACTAGTGTAAACAACATACAGTTTAAAAAGATCGGATCATTGTTGTCTGTCCAATCTCGTGGGTTTTCTCCGGGTCCTGCGTTTTCCTCCCACTGCTAAAGACCCCTACGCGCAAGCGGATTATTGAAATAAAATAAAACCATATGTTATTCCCGAAATGACCTAGTTTGTGACGTTAAACCCCATTTCTCTCTCTCTCATTGTAGTCTGTAGAGCGCATGTTCACAATACATTGTGGACAATGGAGAGACGAACAGAAGCATTATATAATAAACACAATTTTCTCAGTATTTTCATGGTTTTATTTCTATACAAATACATATAGAAACTACATGATTTTACACCTCCATATTAACAGTTGAATTGATGTAATTATACACTGTTGGAAACATGCAACAAACCATTTACAAATATTGTTCTGTCAGATTCAAATAACTATAAGTTCCAATCTATGATACCTTATGTGATTCCTTTTGACTTTTCAACACATGTTAATTCATTGTTGAATAGTGGAGGGGTGGGGTGGGGGTAGACAAGTAGAGCCTGTTCTACTGAATATTATATACTACTTTTAATAGGGGATGCTCGCTTCTTAGTCCATTGCAATCAAGTGAAAAGGATTTCAGTCTTTCAGTCCCCATAACTGAGGTAGTGTGAGTAGAATTGTTATGTAACCAGCAGCAAATATGTTTCAGCTGTTATGATTGGTTGAGATGTTTTCTTATTCAATCGGTTTGCAGAAAAGCAGGACCTTAAACACCATTTCATTTATTCTGTCAGTGCATGTGTTTAGGCCAAAATCCCCTTTTTCATTCATTTTTGAGATAGAGAGAATTCAATTCCAGAACATTCAATCCAGTATCCCCATACAGTTAATCTAGATTTTTAACATCACCCAAAATGGAATCTGTCCATCAGGAATAAGCAACCGTTTCAAAGCCATTTCTATAAAGTTAACCTACAATATGTAATTATATAAGCCATCAGCTAAAATAATATATACATATACATAAAATATAATATACATATTATACAATAATAATAATAATAAATAGTGTGATTATCACATCTGTGTAACAGTTACAGTACAATAACATACAATAACAATTCATTTGGCACTTCTCTACATCATTAGGTACATACACCTACATCTATACATATCTTAAATACCTATACATGTATAAGACTAGAACAAAAAAGGCACTCATTTCATTAAATAGTGCCAATCATTTGAATAATCATGAGTTTACAAAATAACTCCCATTCTCAATTTTAAAATTTTCCAACAGCATGATTCGAATTTGACCATAATGATACATCATTTATTACCCTCTTTAGTCTGAAGGATTAAGAGTGGTACCATAGTTAATTGTAATCAGTAAAATAATTATTTTAATAACCCTTAATGAAATAAAGAACCCTTAAGACTAGAGAAACATTTTTTTCAATAAGAATTGAAAAATCGACCCCTAGAAAAAGAATTATTTTACTAGGGGTTGTCATGTTATTATTACTAAGTGAAAGACTGTCATGAAGTATAATATGACTGCACACAGTACTTTACATAAATGCTACATTTGTGAAAACAAGCCTATAGCTAATTAATGAAGCAAGTCTACATGTACATACAAGGTATACACAGTAATATGATAACAAAATCAAAATCGGGAGCACGGCTCATCCCAATTGTGCCATTTCATAAATTTTGAACACTGTGGTTCGGAAAAAAGTACCAAAATAACAATTCTTATGCAGGATTTCCTAAAAAAGGGAGAGGGGGGTGCATTAAGTCAAACATTACAGTGTCTGGTAAAAGGGGGGCAAAGTACATCACTATAATGACTACACATACAAAAAGTATTGCAATCAAATTGAATAATCAGTACCAGTGTTTCCTATAACATGTCATCAGACAACTGGGATTTCCGTGATATGCAATTACAACATACATTTAAAAACTGAGATCAAGTCTGTTAACATTCTTGTCTGATCCCCAAACTCTGACAATTTATACGTGTGTACATGTTAAATAATTAACCACATAAGTTACATGTCATGCTAATGGCTAAATAACTTAGAACATACATTTACAAATATAATATTTTATACAATGATAATCCTGTAAATCCACATATATATATAAACAAAAATGACTTAAAACTTCAGCTTAGCCATGGCTTAAACAGGGATTTAAAAATTTTGATTTTGAAACAAAATTGCACTATTGCACATTGTTTTTTGGATGATTTTACACCATCTCCAGATGTAAACTTACATACACACTTCATTATAGTCGATGGATATTAATAAGGATTGTTCAGATTAATGACCTAGTGTTCAAACCTTTTTCTCAATACTGACAACCAAAGTAGCATACTTGATTCTCATACATGTAGATTACATGTACATCAAGACATATCATGTTCAAGATGTGCAGAACCCACCTTATGCCTTGCATTTATTTTCAAGGTATTGTTAAACCAAAAACTTTGAAGAATTCAGTTAAATATGGGCTTTCATTTTCTGAAGATTCAAATAAAATTCTTTACAGAATACCACTCATAGATGCACACCTCCAATTCAGATCATTTGAACAATGGATAATTTCCTTTCATGATACTATTAATACATGTTGCTAAAAATGTGGTAGGCATACTTTTGAAGCAAAAAGCTGAGACACAACTGTGATCCACAAGGCCAAGACAAAAAAGATATATGATATTCCTACACGGAAATTATTAGGAAGTTGGTAGGCTTCTCCTCCTATCTGGTCCATATCAAATCCTATTGGAAATATCACAGCTGCTAGACAGAACAGTATCACTGAAATATAGAATATGAAATATAAAGTAAAGTATTTTAAAGCAGCTTAGACATCCTATATTTCTGCAACGACTGGACTAATGAACAATGGGCATATGCCATACAGTGTGCTATGAGGAAAATTTTGTCCTGACAGAGGCACTACGGTCTACTACTATTTTGAATTCCAACTGTCACAGACTCTTTCAAGTGCACGCCAATGTGTACATGGGACCTCGTTTTTTTGTCCTATCAGCAAAACTAGACACTGTTCCTTATCAAGCCTGCTGTCCTGCACCCCTGACAAGAGGAAACCACGCGGAGAATCTTGAGCAACTTTCTCGGCTAAAACTGGGAGCAAACCCAATACCTCCATGTTAGCACGCCAGCATCTTACTCTTTGAGCCACCATGGTTACCGAGTATAGACCTATAGAAACTTTAATTTATGTGTTGATTTAGGAGAATAGATGCTCAAAGGATTTCTTTTTACTTATGAAAATTAAAAAGTTATCAAATATGCCGGGGATGTTTAAACATAGACGGGGTAACAATTTATTACAATCTTATTTGTTTTGATGACAATATCATTGATTTATACTTACTTGCCACAAATCCCAACCATCGAGCAAATTTCATAACTCTGTATTCCCAGTATGAAACTCCAAGTAAAACAACAGTTACACTGATGCAAAGTATACCCAGAACAACACAAATAAATGTCAGTAACCATTCAGCTCTGACTGGGTCAGGTGTGAAACATATAGTAGGTCGACCATATATAGTTAAACAGGTCTGTAACAATCCAATATAAACATCACCTGAAAATTTTTATACATTAAAAAAAGAATTGGGGATTTATATTATATCATATTCAAAGTAACTCTAGATTACCTTAACGTAATTATTTGCTTACTTAAGCAATTTGCATAACCGTCCTATGAAACCGAATATAGGCCTACTCAATTTCAAGCGAAGTATACATTCTTAAATAAGAAATACAAAGATTTATGTTGATAATAAACAGAAGAGTTATATAGGTAGTGTTTCATACAAAGAAACACAAGTGAAGCAACATGATAATTGTCTTCTTGGTAACTGCATTTTGAAATAGGGAGCCAGGTACTTAGGACTACCATTTGATGAGAAACACCGGTTAAATCTTATACTGAAAACCTACATGTAAAGTGTAATTGTATTGTCAAAATCACAACAAATTAAAAATTAATTTACCAAGGCAGACTTCCAATGTACTAATACCTCTTTAAAGATACATACAGGCTATACAGCCATCAATCATTATGCATTACTGTTACTGTTATAGTTGCAAGGTGATTAATGGAAGTAAAATCAAATGAAATTAATTGGGTTAACATGATACTACTTCTCTGCACCGACTGGGATAATGTTATGAGGGGGTGGGGGGGGGGAGGGGAATTCCTACAAAAAATATATAGATGTATTGTTATTATATGCTGTCAAACAACGTTTCAAAATATACCTCCAACTTCTGAAACAATCCAGTTAGGCATTGCCAAACTGGTCACAGCAAAAATATCTGCTGCAAAAAACAGAGCTCCCGATATGATGCTCAGTTTATCCATAATGAATATCGATGCACAGTTTAGTCATCAGATCACAAACATTCCCAAACCAAACTGCACAGTGATAATAACACTGTTGTCAGAGAATATACTTGATCAGTTTCTGAAAAAAATAATTTATTTTTCGAGATTGCTACTCCATCTTGGTTCCATTCTACAGGGGAAGTAACTCCGAAAAAGTGAGTTATTCGTGTGGTTTGTCGAGGGATCAACCCGATTACTTCACGTATAATTTCTATTTGGATGGATTAGTCTCCCTTTCTACACTTGGAAAGCTTGCTCGGAAAAACACACCGATAAAACAAAATTCTAATAATACTTTTTATGTTGATCAGGTTATTTGTACAGCATTTTAAAGGCGCTGCCAACGAAATTAGTTTTTAGTATTTAGCCCTTCGGCTAGTTTCGGTTCAATATGTAGGACTACGTACACAGCACAGGTCCAAAGTTCACGACAGTGAGTGAGTGGATAAGATGGCGACAGCGAGGAAAACAGTTGAATTGTTCTATGATGTTGTTTCGCCTTATTCGTGGATGGCATTTGAGGTAACAGTTGAATACGGCATGTTTAATAACAAATATATTTATATCTCATAAAATGCGGTTGGTATACATGTCATTTTCACATATTTACAATGAAGAAGCACAGCAACCCATGCAGACCAAATAACCTGGCCAACAAAAAGCTATTCAACAATAATTAAATAATGGGCGACAATATATAAGGATACAGACCACCTGTGTCAATCCAATAACTTTCAAGTTGTTCATTCTTGAAATGAAACGAAATGAAACGCCAATGGTGACCTTTTGAGTAAATGTGCTACTTAGTACTTTTTATACAGCGTTCCATCTTAGGTATATTTTGGCATAGTTTAACTTCTAGGTTTATTAATTTGAATTGGCTATGGCAGAATTAGATTTAACCATAATATCCGGAACTTCGTCTTGAGACCCATATTTATACTTTAAATGAGAACGAAGCCCAAAAAGGTGAAATATATCAATTACTAAGTTCGTTGTATAACGCCCGTTGAAAAAAGGTTTTCGGTAACCCTCGATAATTATAGGCCTAATGAAATAAAGCTGAATCGCATGATTTAACATCAGACAGTCGATGCATTTTCGCTATTATCCGTATTCGACTGAGTTTCGAAACTTTCAATTTGTCTCGGGGAAAAGTGGCAGCTTTTTAGACATAGATTTGCATAAATGTTTTCACATACATGTAGTAATACTGGGCTGCTGTAAACGTGTATAACCGGCAGTGATATTGGGATACAGATAATTCCAATAAAAAGAGCAATAGACAAAATCAGTTAACGTTAGAGTGTTGTAGCCTAAAAACTACGCTTATGTAACATAACTTTTAACAACAAGTACCATATTTACTTTGCCTTGGTAGAGGATACACACATAACAAAGTATTTTTCAAATTTGGTGCGAAGCATTGTCGTCATGAGAGGACAAATCCTATCGATAATCAGCGTTCTTCGAAATTTCATTCCAGAATTATTCCTCTTTGTGAACGCGGTAGAGGCTACAGTTTATGTCCTGTAATAGAGATCAGATTTCTTGAAGGCATAACAGATCCTCATCAAATCCGGTCAAATCCAAGTTTTTAATTCGGATAGGCTGATATTTTCGAGACAAGGTTGCTGTGTAGACGTAATTCTACGCTTTGCATGGCCATCTTTATTGCTAGATCTCGCATGCTTGTCGATTTTACACCATGTGAGATTCGATGGAGGGGGGGGGGGTAGGGCAATGCTACAGAATTGAACCGAACAAAGGGCAGTATACATGGTTGTTGGGCGTCGCACAGCCCCTTTCGCCCCGTAGATTTCTTTCACAATGAAACCATGAAAGGGCACAAAGAACGCAATATACCATTTTTATTCTCCCAGTTAAAGGGACTATTCCGATTTGAACAGAGTGTCAAAAATAAAAGTCTTAAGTACGTATGAAATTTAAGCGCCAAAATATGGTGTATTTACCTTGTCTCAAAATTTCAACTTAAAATATTGAGTCGTTTGGACGTGAACGTCAAAACTGCTTATCCGGACACGTAACCCTTTTAAGATATCGGGTCAGTTTTTTCTTTGGGTGACCTAATAATCGATTCCCGTTCCTTTAGAGGTCTATACAATGATTGAACCATGTGCTGTACTTGATAACGAAAGGTAAATTTTACCTACACATTCTTTTTATAAATAAAAGCCTGGTTTTATCCAGACACCGCATAATACAGCTTGGGGCACTGATCTCCAATTCCAGATGAAGACTGACGGGTTTAAGTTGTTTGAAAACGTATCACATAGTTGCTCGGCCCTAAGGTAGAGGAATTTAAGGGATTTTAACACCAAATTAAGCAGTTTTATTCTCCAAAATATTATCGGGATTGACTCTTTAAACAAAATTACGTAGTGCTAACTTTGTTAACCCATCAAAAGCGCACTCTGCAAATGGTTAGTGCGTTGCATCAAGGTCTGTCATTGAGTCAACTGGCGTCGTTTCGATTCCCCCTTTGTACGTGCCAAGGAGTGGGGTCGCCTGTCCAACCTCGTGGGTTTTCTCCGAGTCCCCCGGTTTAATCCTCCCACTGCAAGCGAATTATTGAAATAAAATTGAACCTTATGTTAGTCCCGAAATGACCTAGGTTGTGCCAAGTGGCTTTTAAACCACATTTTTCTTTCTCCCTTTTTTTCGGTTTATGTTGTTATCGACCTTACATGAATTTATTTTAGTCCATTAATTAATTTGAAATAAAATGTTTTTATTTTTATTTTCAGGTTTTATGTCGTTATCGACCTCACTGGAATATGAATTTACAACTAAAACCATTCTTTTTAGGTGGTGTTATGCAAGCATCAGGTAGGCTTGGTTGCTTTTTGGATCCGATTGTGTATACAAGGTTCCCACAGTCGTGCGATGCTTTACGATAGGGTTGTCCATATTGTGTTTACGATCTGGTACGTTTGGGTATGTTTCGATACGATCAACACGATTGCTACGACTGACCTCAATGATAAGACCTGACAGGATGACCACGATTACTCCCACGAATTCTTAATGGTTGTTGATTATTCCTCTCCACGGATTTATAACATAACATAACATAACATATTACATTTGATATAGCGCACATTACTGCCATGCATTCAGTGGCGCTTCACAAAGTCTTACCCAAAAGTTAAAGAAATGCTTTACGAAAAAAAATATGTTTTGAGTTTCTTTTTAAAATCCGTTACAGTTTGACATCGTTTCACACTTTCTGGAAGGGTATTTCAGAGACGCGGTCCTAGTACACTGAACGATATGTCTGCAAATGTTTTATTTTTTGTCTTGGGTATAAATGACAGGTTTTTTGATGACGATCTCGTATTGTATGATGAAGTTTGGGACTGCAATAATTCAGAAAATTAGGCAGGGGCAAGGTTGTGGAGACACTTATACACCAGTACCAGTAGCTTGAATTGGCATCGGACTTCAACTGGCAATATATGAAGTTTTTTTCAGAGCAGCAGTCGAGCTATGGCCGTAATTAATACCAAGAATTAGCTTTGCAGTAAAATTTTGAATTCGTTTAAGAGGTTGAAGAGTAGTTGCTGGCAAACCACACTGTAACAAAAATTTCCGTGAAAAAACGTAAAAAATTCCGGAAACAAAAATTACCAGGAAAATTTTATCCGTATTTGTTTTTCCTGTAATTTACAGAAATTCCTTCAATTAACATAAATTCCATTTTCAAATACAGAAAAAAAAAATCCTGGTAAATTTTGTTTCCTGACCATGAAGGTGATAAAAATTTCATTGAATTAACCATTGACTTTATACGCGTGCGTGAAATAGCTTTATTTAACGTCCGCTTCCATCGAAGTGATATCGCAAATAATTTTTAAACGTAACCTCTTTTCGCTATTATAAGAATCGAGAGCAAGGTATCACAAACCGCTACTCGTCAGTGGTTGGAGGCTTAAAGATGTAAGTTTGCGGTATTATCAATTCGCAGGTATGCAGACTCTGCCATAGAGACAAACCGAATTACACTGGCCAACCGGTTGTACTATCCGGACTTTAGCGTGCTTGATTACCAAATATTACAACCTTAACACCCGCAGCATTAAAACATACTTTTACATATTTATGAAAATACTTACAATCTGATTACCGTATGATGAATAACAATACACTTTATAGATCTTATAAATAATGGAAATTAGATATACATGTCAATTAATATACCAAACGTTACAAAATATGATTCTTCATATTATGGTTAATAAATTTAAATGAATACTATAACATGATGATTATTAGGAATGATTATATATGTATACGATTACTTATCGTTGCACCGTTTATCCCGTAAAACAACAGAATTAAGTCCGTTATAGAAGGGAATAAAACATTTTATTCCTAAATTTCACGGAAATTTCCTGTTTAATACTGAATATTCCACAGAAATACATAAAACACGTAATTTGAAGAAATAATTCAGACAATTAACACAATTTCTCCAAAAAATCCATCGATTAACAGAAAAAAGGTGTTAAATTACGGAATTCGGCTACATAAAAAAATGGATATTTTTTACAGTGCACAAAGCAGACTATTTCCGTAATCCATATGGGAGAAAACTAAACAACTGGCAATTTGAAGAGATGATTCTCTTGAAAGAAACGGTCTCAATTTCCGCAAGTTGGACATTGCCGAAGCAGCACAACGAGTCTTCTGGGCACAGTGACTCTTTAAGTTTAAGTTTTCGTCCCCAGGAATTTAACACGAGATGAAGACCAAACTACAGAATCCCCAACTCTTAATTCGTGGATGGTAAACTTGTGGAGCTGACGGCTACCACCGAAGATAATAACCTCAGTTTTTTCGTCGTTCATCTTTAGTCGATTATGCAGCATCCAGATTTTAACGTCGTCTAAGGACTCTGATAGGCGGGAAGCAATATGAGATTCTGCACATTATTGAAATACATGTAAAATTAAACATATGTTAGTCCCGAAATGACCTAGTTTGTGTCGAGTGGACGTTAAACCTCTCTCTCTCTCTCTCTCTCTCTCTCTCTCTCTCAAAATGAAATAAAACCATAAATAACGGTATATAGGTGTTTAGTGGCCACGGTAATGTTTTTGCCGAGGAAAATGTAAAATACATAGGCGTTTATCTCAGATACAGCAGGATGCCGAAGTTAATTGACATGACTGATTTAGTCCATCAAGAAATATTAAAGATATCCAAGGGTCAAACGAATGTCGTTCTTTTTGTTCTGCAACTGTGTTCAAAAGACAATCATCCCACCCAACTCTCTAATCTTGTATGTGACAAGGAGTAGGGTCGCCTGTCCAACCTAGTGGGTTTTCTCCGGGTCCTCCGGTTTCCCCCCACTGCTAAAGACCCCTACACGCAAGCGAATTATTGAAATAAAATTAAACCATATGTTAGTCCCAAAATGACCCAGTTTGTGTCGAGTGGACGTTAACCCCTCCCCCTCTCTTTTCAAGAGCTAACGTTTTTGTTCGTTGAGAAATTTAATTGTACACTGGATTTTATTTAACCGGAGGTGATTTGAAACACACAGTTAAGTTTATTCATAGTCGAAGAAATCCATTTAAAATTTATGAGGGTTCAGACAGTAGGGGCATATCTCTGATTTGTCATCATTAACTAAGTTGTTGTTATTGTTGTTTACATACATATCGGGTGGCCCAGGAAAACACCTACTCTGTTTGAAGTGGAATAATTTAAAACGTGTTGTACATATCATTAACATACTTATGGAAAACAGCTTCTATTTATTTTGGTCGATGTTTCGAAGATAACGCTGGGAGAATACTTTTCGAAACGTCGCCCAAAATAAATAGTGGCTGTTTTACATAAGTATGTGTTAAAGTTTAGTGAAATAGAAACGTTTGCTGGAGGTGTGTCAATAATTTATTTATACGCCGAAAGATAGTATCCAATAATTCCAAAATTCTGACTGTAGGGCAATTACAAGTAAACACAATAGAAGTCCAGGGTTAGATATTATTCTGTTGTTGAAGATTAGTTTTCGGTTTGAAAATAAAATAATATTACAGTGACATTCATTGTGTTGCATAGATATTATGCCAAGAGCTTTCGAAAAATATGTTGTTTTGTCATTGTCCATTAAAACCCCCGCGATATGTCACTTTTAACGTGAAAGTAGCAAAATAGTATCAAGAGTTCCGGATACATTGTCATCTCGCTATGAAGTATTTTCAGTACCATTGTTCTGTTCTTGGCGTTATAAAGCGAATATCGTAATCCAAAAATAAGATTTTGAGTGAAATATTTTATTTGAATTTTTTTCTTCTATCTTCTATTGGCAGACAATAAACCCCCAGCCTTCGTCCGTTTCAAGGCTATATACTTGCCTAAAGACGTAGAAAGATTAGGCGAATATTTTCAAGTGCCAGTTTCAATGCCGGCGGTAAGTAAAAACGGAAAGCACTTCATAATCTGATGGTCTTAGGACGGTTTTTTTTAAATATAACATTCTCAACAATTTTCATTTTCAGTTTCTTTTTTTGACAACACGCGTGTCTTATACAATGTTTTGCAATTTATTTTTGTTAACACCTCTTCAAGTAATCCCGACAAATCCGTCTTGAAATTAGATAATTCAAAACCTACAAAACAAATAATTTAAGCAAAGGCGTTTAAAATCAAAACCGCGTTTTATTATTGACGTCATATGAAACACATACATAAGATATTCATAATAATAGGTTAACCCCATAAACGCCATGGAGTCTCGGTGGCCCAGTGAATAGGCTGCAGCTCACTAACAATGTGGCCCCGAGTTGTCTCCAGGTGTGGTTTTCCTTTGTCAGTGGTGAAGGGCGTGATGAATACCCGAGGTCTCACGTACACGTTGTTATGCATGTAAAAGAACCATTGGTGCTATTGGCTGTTGAAATTCGATGAAGAGTGGGCGGAAACGCCACTGTCCGGTAAAAATTTAAAGGACACTGTGATAATGGCTGACACCAATATTGCCCTTTAAAGGTCGTCTTCTTTAGCCCGATTTGTGCAGTAAAGTAGGACGTTAAACCCCTCTCAATTTCCCAACCGCCAATCAATTAATTTTCTTTAGCGGCGATTAGTTTGTCCACGAATAATCAGTTGTTAGTTATGAAAATTGCATTACGAAAGATAATCCATCCTGATTTTTCGTTTATCATATATGCGAGCTGTAAAACAACGGTCCTTTAAATGGTGGGTGAGGAACATTATTCAAAAGATAATCGACGCTATTGGTAAATTATCGATAATAAGATAAATCTTCGGACAAAAAAAAAAAAAAAAAATGCTAGTTCATGCTATACTTTTAATAATTTTTCCTGTTTATTTTTAGAATCCTTTTGATGTTATGTTCAATAAAGGCTCCTTAAAAGCGCAACGATTCCTGACAGCTGTAGATATGGAGAACCCAGAACAAACAGAAAAAGTTTCACGCGAACTTTGGCGCCGGATTTGGAGTAAGGTATACTACTACTAGATACATATAGAATTAGTATTCGATTAACGATAACGTCTTGGGATTTCATTTCTATCTTGAAAGTTTAACACAATTGACATTCTCTTCACGTTGCAAGATGATAGTCAATTATACTACAATAATTTATTATTCGCTTAGATTGGTTGCCATGAAGCATCATCCGATATTTAGGAAGTTTGTTATATCAAAATGTCCTTCAAAAAAATATTTGTCCCGGGTTCGATTCTCATGTTCACCGAGAATGTTCCTCTTGATTTCCCACATAGAACACTCCGCGGCTTATGCCCGTCTTCATTATCCCAGTTTGTGCAGAAAAGTAGGACGTTAAACCCCATTTCATTTCAAACAAGCAACTGATCACGTGTGTAAAATTATACAGTTATATGCATTGTTTTTTTTGTAAAAAAAATATTAAAGGATATTAGAGCCCTGAAATAAAGGTCATATTTTTTTGCGATATTACCGCAGGCCAAATAAACTAAAATTTAGTAAAGTAACCAACTTCCGCACATTCATTCGAAACGAAAAAGTAAGGGTGTGAGCTTTTCCCGTCTTAGATCAGCTTAATTCAATACTTTTACTGACCCGATTTCCAAATTAGAGCTGAGTTGTTCTTTTGAGTTGTTCTAAATTAATTTCTTACTTCCCATCATATTCCGTCGAGATTTTGAAGCCTGCTGGAATATATATTTACTCTTCAAATATTATGGTCTCGTATATTTTTATTATATCGACATCGAAATATTAGCATATTACCGTTGGTATGGTGTTTTCATCTTTGTACGTTTCTTCAATGTGTGTGTTTATGGAAAAAGAAATATACGCCCACATACAGACATTGGTGAGACGAAGACACCTATTTTATTTCAACAATTTCCGTTAATTACTTCTAGATTATGACCCTTGTTAACTTTGTCGAACCCTGTGAATGCTCGAAGGACAAAAGTTATGATCAAATCATTCCATATGGTATTTTTCTTTTTAAACAGGACCAGGATATAACAGAGCCGGAAAGTTTTAAACAAGTAGGTTTTATATAATATATATGCCCGCAATACTCGCTCTTTTTGGTGAATAGAAAATTACGGTATGCGCACAACAAGGATCGTTTCCTACTAATCACCGACAAAATCAGATTAGGGTGTATTTTTTGTCAAACGCCCAAAGTATTGTAGACAACTGACCGTCAAGGAAAGATATGTATATTATTCACATGACGGTCACGTTTTGTAATACGTTAGGCGATATTGACATAAAAACTCTAAACGCCCTTGTCTGTGATCAGTAGGACCATATTAATATAAATGCCGTATAAGTATTTTACCCTATTAATGACAGTAATTCACCATGAAGTATTGATTTTGAATCGAAAGGGGTTGTCATATTTATATTTTATACACCCACATTTTCACGTGGACCTATTGTCGTCGCCTATGTCCGTCCGTCCGGACATTTTGTTTGTTAACACTCCACAGGTCACAATTTTTATCCCATTTTGGTGTACATGTATTTATTACCCAAAGATCTCGAATCCTTTCGATATTCGCGCGAGATGTCACAATTTCATCGGATTTTAAAAATCTTTGAATATATCACCGTTACACCCTAATGACGCTTGAGTTCGAATGCCGTGGGAATCGAACAGAAACTGGCCGACAAAATGGCCGCTCCTCGTACGCTAATAGTGTGAATGTATGTAATACCATGGTTGTGGAACCTCTAGAGATCACAATTTTTATCCGTTTTTGATGAAACTTAAAATATATGTGTATATTCCAAAGATCTTGGTTCCCTTTGATATTGTCGCATGTCGAACTGTAACATCCTGGATTATGGCCCCTGACGGTACGAAAAAATTCCTTTTTTAGCTTGTTCTCTGTCCATTTTTTTGCAAAATGTATGCGTATCTTGCATGACGGCCGCTTGCTAGTACGTATGCTCAGAAACCTTAAACCTGGTCTTGTGAGACTGTCTGGAGATCCACGTGTATTGATAAATCCCAACATTCCATGCTGTTATCAAGTACCTCGTTAATCCAGTCTATGTATTTGCCATTCGTGACTATATAAGTCAGTTGAACGATATCGCCTGAAGGTGAAAGCGGAAGTAAAATCTCAAATTGAACAACAACACTATTGTGGAAGCAGACGTTAAAAGACAAGTGCATCGATTTTTAATCATGTGATTAATAGATGACCACGAAGATTATTTTATTTAAACATGTTTTATTGATCCTAAATCATCAAAGGAGTGAGAGAAAAGTGGATTCAATATTCTCTTTGATGTTTTATGATTAATAAAATATTACTGCTAAGATTACTTCTTATATGGGTGGTTGTACGTGACAAGGAGTAGGGTTGCCTGTCCAACCTCGTGGGTTTTCTCCGGGTCCTCCGGTTTCCTTTCACTGCTAAAGACCCCTACGCGCATGCGAATTATTGATATAAAATTAAACCTATGAACACTGAACCAGAAAAATTGCGAGGGACAGATGGGTGGGTGTTCTTGATGATTATGTCTTCCATATTGGAAAAGCTTATTATTTTACTGAAAAATTTACCAATAACCAACGTAATTGTATGAAAAGATTATCCCTATTCTGCCATTTAAATAATATTGAAATACTGATTTATGTTGGTATTATAAGGTATTTATGGATATTGAAGATAACTTCCTGATTTATGAAGGTTATTTTGATATTAAGTAATTATAAAAAGTTCCTGTATCATAGAGTAGATTTATCTATCGATTTCTGTTGGATTAGATGTCAAAATGGAGAAAATTTATCTTTGAGATCCAGTGATAGACGAAAATTCCATCAAACCCAGTCAAATGAATTGGCCGATTAAATAAATGAGAGCATATGGATGACGGCTCATCACACCAATCGCTATTTATTCACAGATCAGGGGTATCAATATGGCCGAGGTTTTCGGATGATAAATAAGTTTCTTATTTAATCTGTAAGACTAATTTTACACTTGATTGCGATATCAATGGAGATTAATCAGCGAAAATAGAAACCGTTGGCCTGTTCCAGTCGTTAATTGCATGATCTCTAGAAATACTTGTTTATTCAGAAATATTAATTAGCAAGTTGCAAATGGAATAAAATATATGAATGTACACTTATTTATGAAAACTTCTAGTAAGAATATTTGAAAATAAGATTCAATTTCTGTAGCCTAGATATCAAATCCTAGTTCAGATATTTACTCTTAACCAACATAAAAGCTGCGTCCTTATGTATATCTATCTGTAGTGAATAAAGCCCGTAGGCTATTTTCTTTGTGTTCGACATTATTATACAGATCTGTGCGGTTTTCAGAAACCTAGTTGTTAAACGCAGACTAACATTTTTGCTTTTATATACCCTTATGTTCGGCAGCAAATGTTAAATCGGCAGCGACAACCAGAACATTTTAATTACAAGTATTATTTATTTTATAACAGGCTGGTAAGGCAGCGGGATTAAGTGACAGTGAAATTGCTGAGGCCCTGGCTAAAATGACAACCCAGCCCATCAAAGACAGATTAAAATCTCATACAGAAAGAGCAATAAAACTATATGTAAGTTATTGTGTCTTTATGTATCTTTTTTTTTAAATATTAAATGTAGTTGATTGACATTATGGAAATAACCCTTAAAGTCTCATGGGATAGGTCCAAAAATGGCTCAGTTCCGGTCAGTATTTACAAAGAAATGCCGAACTGAAATTTCATCGATCTATGCTGCTCGCTTGGTAATAATTCCGCCTCCATTTTGTTGTGGGCGAACAGAATGTAATCCGATTGAATCGTTCGTTTCGTTTACTGCTTAAAGCCCGCTTCTATCTTGGGTGATATCACAGAGTTGGATTAAATCCAAGCTGAGAGGTTATCTAGCGTTAACATTTTGTTTTTGCTTTTTTCTTTTTTTTAAAAAAATTACATGTAATATAATCAAACTGAATATATATTAGCATGGATTAAGCCGTCAGAAATTTGATTTTTTTTTAGCGAAAAATGCAATTGTCGCGCCGTTACTTTTTGAAAATAACTAATCACTTTTTCCGATGTCAGTGTTTCGATACATCAATAACAGCTAATTCCTGTTATATCAATGCAGAATACACTCTGTTGTACTGCTAGGATGTCCCACGATATGATAAATCTCGAATATTATTAACACTATAGCAGCACTGTATTTATGTATACAACTTCCTTCTTATTAATGATCAAAAAATGCCCCTTCTTTCTTTATTTCATAAGATATATCCGGTGATCTAGTTGGTCAAATATACTGGTTTCGTTTAAGGAGTCCCGGCATAGTGTTTCGACCCCCCCCCCCCCCCCACATCGTCTGGTTGATCGAAACATTATAGACAGTTCGACCAATACTAATTCAGAAGGGAACCAATGTTTAAGGAACCCTTTTAAAGCAAAAGAAAATACGACTAATATTCTATTCTTGTCTTCGGAGAGAAAACTTCTACCAAAAGCAAGATATCCCTGCCTTTACGCCACAGATAATAAATGAAATGAAATATTATTTGGTGAGCTTGTCTCCGGGACAACTTTTAAACTAATGAACAAATATTGGTGGCGAAGCAGGTCCCCTCTGAAACCTCACCCTATACCACCATTCCGAATGTCCTGGATATTACTGTGATTCAGACTCGCGAACATCAGATTTTGTAAGTGCTCCATTATTTTGTATACAAAATCTATACTATTCATTTAATCTCTGGACAGTCTTCAGCTGCAGTCCCTAAAATCCCCTGCCTTCTATAATAATATATTTCAATCCGACCACTAAATGATATAAGGGTTTTACTTGAAATATCTCCCTATTGTTTCTGATGCGAAATTGAGTATAATAAACCTGGAATATAATCATGTAAATGGGTTAATGAACTATAGTTTCCATTTTCATTTTAAAATAAATTTGTATAATTGACTTGTATTACTTTTTTATAGACACGACCGAGCCCGTATCTAGACACCATTAAACGGGGGGGGGGGGGGGGGCATTACCTTTCGGTAGGGGGGGGGGGGGCGAACATTTTGAGGAAATTTTCGGAAAGGTCATTCTAACAGACTGTTGTAATCATCATGCTATGTAGTTACCGAGGCATCTAATAAGCATTTTAAAATAAATATTCAAACAAAAAAAAATCGTGATTTTTTAAATTTATTTAAAATTATTTTAGATTAGTACCAAAAAAATGGTTTATAAAGTAATGAGATACCGTGGGATTAATATGCGCATAGTCGCCTGAATTATACCTCCTCCTGCTTAGGGAAGCGTAGTTTTTTTAGGTTAATATAAGGAACTGTGTATACTTAATGATTGTTAGCAATTTATGAGCGGGGGGGGGGGGGGCGAGAGCATTTCAGCCCCCGCGCCCCCCTGTAGATACGGGCCCGGACACGACAAAGAACAATTACAGTCTTAGTCCATTTCTAAAACAAATCGGAGTATATCCAAGCCGTGGTTTTCGATTTAAATCAACCAACATTAAGAGTATTAACTTTTCTACGATATCACCCTTGGTGGAAGTGGACGTAAAACTCCAGGAACAAACGAACCAAGAATATTAATAACATTTGTTTATCTTCAATTTGTTAATTTAGATGACCTAACCTTGTTCTCGGCTTGAATGCGGTCTTCGTATTTCCGAGGTTATACACGGAATTGAAAGAACCTATCAACGCTTTTCTTAAGATATGCAGGGCAAATTACGATTCCACATAGTATTGCAAGGTCTATAAATCTAAAGTCATTGCTGACCCAAATCATGCGCTATATTCTCAAATTTATTTTCGAGGATTATCAAGGGGATTACGGCAACGGATCAAGTCTAATCTTTTGTTTTCTAGTCCAATCAAATGAATTAAGCTCAATATCATGTAGAAACGAGTATAAAATTCGAGAGGTACCAGTGGTGATTATTACAGTCTAACTAAATGGATTACAGACTAGTTTATGGTATTTTTACGTGACAAGACTAGCTTCCAAACCTATTTTTTTTCCAGTCTCGACACAGACTAATATAAATAAAATACTAGTTTTTTATGTTTGGCTACCATGGCATTCCCTTTTATCAACTCAGTTTAATGTTTAATCTCTTATTTACTATTTCCAGATCAGTATTTTTTAAATCACAAACTTTTCTCGTTTAATTTTGTAGATAACCTGAAATTGAAACCCTACACATAACTTGTGTTGCCTTTAAAACGTAACGGACAGACTGATTCCAGGATTTATTTTGAACTGACAGTATACAAGTTTAATGACAACTCTAAAAATAACATATCCTCTTCATTTCTGTATCATAATATTTAATTTAAAAAAAAAGATAATCCATTTAGACCAATTCTTCGAATTTATGGATTTCTTCCATTATTCTAAATCATAACTAATTTATCGTACATTCACCGGAATATCAATACCAAAATAATATTATTTCAGTGACAATTATGATCAGTAATTGTATTATATTATTGATCATACATATCGCTATTTGGTGTTCCTATAAGGAAAATTAGAACCGGAGAAGCGTAGAAACCTTAACAGGCTTATAAAAAATATCTCGGATATGGAATTATCTTACAATATTCAACTTGTTATTATTGGATTTTACAAAATTGTACCATTAGTTTAATGATTCTATTTTATATAACTGTATTTATAACGCAAGGCAAAATGTTGCCGAAATTACAAAGTTGTTTAAATCTTTAGACAGTGGTGCATGGGTTTAAAGGAATTCCAGTTAAACTGCATGTACTGCAAACGCTAAACCTACCCTCCAGTGTGCTATGCGGGAAGAGGGTTGGGTGGTCTAGTTGATTGTGATTTCGTGACCAGGAGTATTTATTTATTTATTTATTTATTTATTCTTCAAGTAAAGGTTACAACATGACAATAAATTAATGTATTATAATAAGAACTAGTGCCGCATTGCACGACTGGGAAAGTGAGAACAATAAATACAGATTATGTATATGAAAATAAGAACTATGTGCTACATTGTATAATTGGGATGCCAAATGAGACAAGCATAGAGGAATATGATAGGTATGGTGTCATGAAGAGACCTTTACTTAGGATAGCCCATAAAGCCTGACGTATATAACATCCGTTGCTTATTTCCAATGGGGTCCAAAGTTAAATTGCTAAGGTCGCGTCAGGTCATCATTGGGGAGGCAAAATTTAATAAACATGCCATCACAGCATTGTATCACAAATAATAAAATATATTTATGTCTACATGTTATACATCAACCAATTTTATTAATAGTAGATTATCAAGCTTGTAGTATCACAGATTAACATTGTATTAACAATAAATACTTCTTGGCTGCAGCTTTAAAGTGAACTGATCTCTACCCGCGCATTTTGGAACAGCAAAATTGAATAAACTAGATCTTGTGCCATATTGATGAGTATCTCTAACACATTTGAATTTTGATTTAAGGTATGATGGACAATTATTATGAAAAATCTTATGTACGTGATTGAGTTTTAACTGTTTAACTCAGTTTTCAACATTAAGTATATTCAAATCTGAATATGAAACATGATCTCTACGTCCTAGCCCATTCACAAATCTTATTTGAACCTTATTTTGAACAACTTGTAATTTATTTTTAAGTGATTGATTCACACCAGAATACCAGGCTGAGCAGGCATAATCAAAGTGGCACTGAATAAATGCAGAACAAAGGCATTATTATAGCGAAACAGAAATTTTAATCTTGAATTTGCTTTCTTTATAATGCTGTTAACAGTATCCTCCCCAGACAAGTATTTGTCAAAACGTAGACCCAAATATTTAAGGTTATCTATAGGGTCGCCTGTCCAACCGTGTAGGTTTTCTTCAGGTCCCCCGGTTTCCTCACACCATGTGTTAGTCCCGAAATGACCTAGTTTGTGTCGAGTGTACTCTCTCTCTCTCCCTCTCTCTCTGCAGTCTATTAAACCTCGCGGTGACTTGTTTTGAAATTTAATGGATTGGCTTATTTCTTTTCTGACCAAATCGATCTCGTGTAAAGGAATTTGTCCTAGTGGGAATTTAAATGCGTTATCGTATAAGAGTCAACACCATATATATCACTGCCCGTAAGGAAATTTCTAATGAAGTTTGACTGGTGAAAGACGTAATATTAAACTATATAGATATTTGGGCTAATCAATACTGATGGACCCAAAGTGTCCGACATTTTATTGACATTTGCTTTTGACAAGTTCACGTGTAATTGGTAAGTTTCAACATCTGATCTGACTTCAAATATCAATCATCATTGTACATTTCACGCTTGTAGGAAATCATCTTGATCTTAATTACATTTATAATCCTAATATAACCAACTCCTGTCTTTCCATAGACTTTTGTCCGACATTTTCTATCTCTTTATATTCTTATCTGTTCCAGCTTTACCCTCAGGTTGTTATTAGTGGTATGTACATACTAATGGCTTAATAAATTAACTGGAATGTTTGGCCGGGAATCAAAATACAAAATGTATAATATTACACAGTGGATTATGAATTTTAAGCAAAGAAACCAGAAAAGTGTCCAGTATCACTATTTAAATTTAAAAATAGAAATCAAATGAGAAATGGTAGCCCTGTGTCCGCAACTACTTGAAGCTTACTTGAATAGGTTTTTAGCTTCCTACTTTTCTGCATTACCGGGCTAATGAAGTCGGGCGTACTAAGAGGGCACTTTTGACCGGCAGCGGCAGGGGTTCTTTTACGTGTACGCCAACGTATACACGGAAACCCAGTTTTGCGTACCATCCGAACCACTAGACATTGTTCCTTTCCACCGTCTGTCCTGCACATCTGACAACGAGAAACCACATTGGAAACTCCCGAAGTTCTTTTTTGCCAACACCGGGATCGAACTCGCAACCTCCTGATTAGTGAGTCATTGCCTTACATGCCCGGGTAGAAAGTAGTCAGAAAGTATCCTGTTGGATAATGAACACGCTTTAAAAACACATATTATAATTATTAAAAAATACCAAGAATTGTACTCATATTAAATCAGAGTGCCGACAGTAGTAGCGATTGGTGTCCTATTGATTGAGTGGCGTCATATTAGCGGCTAATGAACTAGATTTCTTTTTTATGGAGACAAGGATGGCCGAGACTGAATGATTGGGACTTTTCATGAACAATCATTGATTACTTGGCTCCTTAAGTAAGTTGATGACTTATTGCCTAAAGGTATATTTTATAACTTGGCCAATAATTCGATGATGCGACTTCTCTCTTGAAACATGTAAAACAAATGTTCTTTTATTAGATGCATTGATAAAATTAGCTTTTGTGCATAAGTTTAAAGAAAATCGAAGGGTATTGACATTTTAATCTATGAGAGTAAATACATTTATAAAGTTGTAAAGATAAAATCTATAAAATATGGACAAAACATATTTATATATTTGTTCATATAATATTATGTTTTATGATTGTCATATATTTGTTTAAACTTTGATGTCTTTGTGTCAACAAACATTTCAATGTTTACACTAAAAATGCAAAAGGATTTCTATGATATGGCGACAAACGGATCGTTTCTTCTTTTGTCGATTTTTATATTATAGTTTAAAGTTTATGATTGCCCTTTATACATTATGTACTGTAGTCTTAGCAAATGTAAATTATGTCAGTGCTCATGATGTGCCAGTCTTCATATAATCGAAGCATCATATTATACAGGCGACAGAAACAAATTGTGCACAAGAATCTGAATATTACTCACTGGCTATTGTCTATTCTTTGGCATCTAGAAATGGACACAAATGGGTCGTAACGCATATATTAATGTAATATGATAGAGTGCACCGTGCAGCGAAAATTTTCCTTACAGAAAGTTGAACTCGACACGGCGAATGTGCACGCTTCAGTGGCTTGTCTTGGCTAATCAGTACTAATCACGCAGTGCAATAACAGAGTCTATGAGTCTATAAATAGCCATCGCACGTGAAATTCTCTAAACATCTATCAACTATTACAGCCGTAAAAAATCTATTGTTGACGATTCAGAATATTTAGCTTTTTGGTTATTACGCAGCTTTAGAAATTACGTTCGTTTTATTTTTTTTTTAAATTGCTTTATCATTAACTATACAGTTAGGAGCGACATCCTTTGGTTTAGTACAAATAATATCTCTGAAACACTCGGGTTAGGCAAGAACATGATACTAGCAGTAGTTTCATTTTACTTTTACAAGGTTCTTTAATGTTGAGTTGCCTAACGCGCATGTTTCCAAATTCAATTTCTTTTTCCAGCTTTCTGTTATGTTTCATAAAAAAAAATAGTCTTGATTATCCCGGCCTGTCCATTGGACGTAGAATGGTCGGTAGACTGGTTAAGCGAGACTAATTTCAAAACAAGGGTATGTAACCTATTTTTTTACTCAAAAGTGCCCGGATGTTATGGCCGATACTCGTAACCATATTTCAGTCTATTATTTATCGATAATTAAATGGTCATAACTTATTAAGTACATGACCGTTTGTTTAGTGACTATAAATTTGCGAAACTGATTAAAGGATTGGTATATGTATATAAATATTGTGGTGTAATTATCGAGATATTTGGAGATATTTATTTATGGTGGGGCACTCTAAATATGAATGTATATAAACTGATCTGCATCCGTTTTACTGTAATTTCTAATCAGTTATGTTCGGTAAAATACGCGAAGAGTGCAACTTGAATGGCAATCTTTGGCGTCTGGTTCCAGTCTACACCGGTAGTCTTCCCTTGTGGGATATGTTTAACCTCGTTCATCCAGTCACTTCATTACAAATGGCGTTTGAAAGCATTCTGGCACGCGATTCGTGTGCCAATTTTAAATTTTTCATTTTGTCTTAAATATTGAATATCGGAAGTCCATCTTTTCATGGTAAGATAACACCACCAATGTTGATTTAAATTTGTCAATAAGTCGTGTTTGCAATGTCGAAGACTGTACATTGGTGATCCTGAGTTAAATACTTCACTATTTGAAGTGAGCAGTTTTGTTTCTTACCCATATAATACTTTAAGTCAGCTGCATTCTGTATAATCCCATTATCAACCCAAATGAATCTTGGTATGGATTCGTTTTGGACAAATGTACAGTCATGTAGTCATTTTTGACATGATCAATTCTATCAATATTAATGTCTCTTTTAATATTACAGTTTATGATTAAAATTGAATAAGTCATAATTCGGACTATATTTTACAGGCATTTGGTGCACCTTTTATTGTCGCCCACGTCAACGGTAAAGAAGAAGTCGTATTTGGATCAGATCGATTTCCAATCTTGGCGCGTATTCTAGGTAAGCTTGTCTTCTATACTTCAATTATTACACCACCATTTTTATGATTGACAGTATTATTTTGTTGAGGAAAAATAACCCGGCTGACGACATTTTTCTTTATTGAATTATTGAAAAAATCAAGCAGTCAGATATAATTCACATGTTCCTTCCATTGTTTGAGATGATTGCATCAATTCTAGAAACACATTTAATCTTTCATGAAAGATCATCCTTTTTTTATTCATTTATTGATTGTCCGGTGCAGATAAAAAACCCACCTAGATTGCTATATGGATTTGAGGAGGTAGATCGCAAGAAATATTAATCTAATAACAAAGTTAATATCTTTGACAATTAGACTTTTCTGAAATTATGTTGTGATAAAAGAATCTTAGGTTGTTATTGGGTGTTCGGTGTCTGAGCCTAAAAGTCCTTTGTGAAAGTCATCACAATTTGTGAATAAGTTAAATTCGTAGTGAGTGTAGTAATAATAACCCATGATTAAATTTTAAAAAAGAAACACTAATGCTCCGACAGAGATATCTACTGGAATAAAAAAGTGTTTGATTTACAAATATGATGTATTTTATGGCAAAATAATGTTTTATGCTACAAAAAAGATATCCTCAACAAATTTGACATTATGTAAACAAGTTTCTCTGTAGTAGTCCGGCAGCAGGTCAACAAACGTATATGTAGTTCACCTAATGTTTTTGGTGGGTTATATATCTTCCATATGGCGTTTAGATACAGATTCCGGATGATGTCACCCTGGCATCTGTAAAACTATGCACACAGCTCGGCAATCAAATCAAATATGTCATACGATACAGTTATATGAGTCGCTGGTTAGATGTGAAAAGTACAAAGCTACAAAAACTCCCCACATCTAACGTGTGACGCACACTCTCTTCTCTGCTAGATATTTGATTAAACTTGTGATCGTCTAGTGTTGTCTAGTGCAATTCTTTAACTGGTTAGGACGTATCTTTAAATGTTTCTTTAACATCTCACGTTCGGTATATCTATTTATCAGATCCAAGATGACAGGAACAAAAATACGGGTTCTACAGTTTTATATCAAGCTAGATACATATGTTACAAGCATAGATTTAAAATAAAGTCATTCTCTCAGTCCTATCCGAGCTCATTTTGGCAGGAACATCATATAAGCGTGTAATGTATTGAAACCGGTTTTCGGGGTCACTTAATTCAGATGTAAACGTACTAATATGTTCCCACCAACAAGTATTCCAATATGACCGCTATATTCAAGAGAAATTTCGAGTGAAATTTCGATGTTGGTTATGTGATGGTGTAATACGTTAAGGTTTTCGGGGTCGCCGAATTCATATCTGAACATCAAAACTAAAACATGCCAATGTGGTTCTTAAATTAGACATAAATAGCTAAGATTAAGTCCTTGTATTTTAGACAAATCCTTTACAGCCAAACACAATCAACATCGGACCATAGAGGGAAATATAGATGCTGGTAATGAGTCGAATCCCCGGCTGAGTAAGGAGTAGGGTCGTCTGTCCAACCTCGTGGGTTTTCTCCGGGTCCCCCGGTTTCCTCCCACTGCTAAAGACCCCTATGCGCAAGCGAATTATTGAAATAAAATTAAACCATATGTTAGTCCCGAAATGACCTAGTTTGTGTCGAGTGGACGTTAAACCCCATTTCGCTCTCTCTCTCTCTGTGGTAATGTGATGGGGTAATACGTTAAACTGTTGGTTTCCGGGGTCACCGGACGAAACGCCCACGTGGATCTTAAAATAGACATAGTTAAGATTAAGAGACCATTGAAAAAAATAGCAGAGCCTAAAAGCAAAGCAGAATGAGCGTTAACAAGAACAACAATTCTTCACAGCCAAACACAATCATCAACCATCGGACCGTAGTGAGTTGAAAATAAATGTTTCTAAAAAATCATGGAGATTTTCCTGCGTGGCGTCGCCCCCTTGTCATTGGTGCAGGACAGAGGGCTTACAGTTACAGGGATCGGCGTCTAGTCATTAAAATCGTTTTCATTAGCACGGGTTTATCAGAAAAGTAAGATGATAAATTCCATTGCATCCTTTTTCTTGATATTTAATTTACATATAATGTACACATTATAACCTACTTTCAGGTGAAGAATGGTTGGGACCAGTACCTTCAAATTCTAAACTATAGAAACAGAGTTTTACTTTTTTTGGTAGAACTGGCAATCAACACAACAAAACGGCTGAACAGATGATTTATCTCTACTGTCCTTAGAGGGAAAATGGCATCATAGTTCCTCAACAACTTACACACATGTGACAGAATAATTTAAAATTATAATTACGTTACGCCTTGGTTCCTTGTGAATTTGTTTATAAAAGATAAAAACTAAACATTTGTTCCTGATATAGTTAAAGATGCATTATGTAAAGCTTTTTAAAAGATAAATATCGGACCGTTCTAGCTATACTGGTTCAAAAGTAGATAATGAAAAATTAAACATACATTATGCAAGAGCTAAATCTGCCTATTGCAGGTCTTTCTTTACTTGATTAGGATCCGATCTGCTGCTTAACCCCATTCATGATTAAATCAAGAAATGGATATTCGAGACTATGTATTTATCGTACAGACTTTAGTAATGATGATCGAGGCTAGATCCAAAATTCAATGGCTACATTCTTAGTTCAGAGTGGACCAATTTGACTGACATTTTCAGCAAATTCCCTTTACATTATCTAGTTTTTAACTATTATAGTGAGAACTGCCAGCTCTTTATCTAATCTCCCATAATGTATCTTTAATATATTGATAATTTCAGTCAAATTACTTTAATCTGATCGAAGTTATGACAAGATGTAGCGTAAATATTCGTGATTGTCAAGTACTATTGCTACACTAATAAACGAAGTTGCGATTATCCATTTTAACGTTAAATTATTGAATAGCGTGGTTCAATATTTGGGTCATCCAGTTGAATATGGACTTGTCTTGTGAATAAATGTCTAAATATAAAATAATAATTTATATAACATTAGAAGTCAGAAAAAAAGACCTGCAATAGACCGAGATTTATCGTGTATGAGTGTTTAAAATTGGATATCTATATAGAAAACTGTGCTATAATGTCACGCGCTACAGTCTGTAGTCCACTTTCTACCAATCTAAACCAGAAATTTTATTTTATTGAATTCATGAATGTTTCAAACGATTATATCGACGATAATTTCCATATGTTGAAAAATGTCGTTTGTTGGTGATTCAAGATAAAAAAAAATATTTTGAGTATAATTCTTAGTTGGGGATATTTTTATACGCATACATTGAAATGTTGTCGTATATAGCCTTTCCGATGATAATCATAAATAATTGTCAATTTCGTCAGTACATTCTGCACTAAATGCAGAATAAATAAATGTAGGCGTATAAAAGCACTATTTAATCGTAATTATCGTAAAACATGATAAATATCCAGTTTCAAGTAAAAATGTTAATCATGCCTATCAACATAAGTAACTGGTCCGTGCTGAATATGCCCTTTTTACACATATCATGCAATCTTCATTATCCCGTTACGTTTAGAAAAGTAAGGTGTTCAATTTCATTTTATTTCATTTCAAATTTTAAGCTTGTGCGTTGAATTTGTTTTTGCCATTTAAATTAAATGTGATATATGTTTCCTTCAAATATACTTTACAAACCAATATTGACAAACATGTCAGTTTCATCAATACATATAGAGGATCTCCTACGAGTGTTTTTTGATATCAAAAAATACCAACACAAGTCGATAAAGTCAAAAAAACGAGGCTCTGCCGAGTTATTTTACTTTATCGACGAGTGTTGATATTTTTTGATATCAAAAAACACTCGTAGGAGATTTTTTTATCACTCAATCCTGTCTTGCATGCACAAATAAATAAATGTAATTCTTTACTATAGATTTCACTTGTACTGAACCTGATTACACTATGGCGTAGTGATACACCATTTTTTGACAGCAATTCAACCATTGCAAAGTCCTTTATATTGACCCAGTGTTTAAATGAAAGTCAATTACATAAAAATAGTTCCTTTTTTAATAAGAAAGAAGTTATGTTTAATAAAAATGAATTGTTCTTTAAAAATAAAAAAGTAGTTCCTTTTTGATTGACCAATCAAATTCATGTAAATTATGAAATTTATCACACAAGCGATATCCACTGTAAATGCAATAGGCTATAAATATACTAAACAGCAAAAAAACGTCAGTACGATTTCAAAATCAGAGAGGCACTTTAATCAAATCATTCTAAAAAATGATTTACTAAACGGATCAAAGCATTTTTTTGTGAACAGTATGTTGACACATTATAATTCTTCACAATTCCAAGACATTACAAGAAGGTTTAGATTCTGTACACAGTCTATACATCAGTATCTGGTGTGTCCACCGCGAGTGTCAATAACAGCAGCGCAATGTCTGTACATGGAGCGGACCAGACGATTGATGAACGCTATTGGCACCTGGAACCACGTTGTCAGAAAAGCCTGGTCTCGGTACGACTTTATTAAGTTTCCAATGAATTTCATCCCAAAGATGTTCAATCGGGTTTAAGTCGGGTCTGGCCAGTGCATATAACGTTGACACCGTTCTGCTGTAGAAAGTTCCCTGTAACTCTGGCGATGTGGCCACGGGCGTTGTCATGCTGAAAAACGTTGTTTCGATGACGTGCGAAATGTGGTATAACGTGGAGTCTGAGAGTTTGACCGATGTAGCGCACTGCTGTGATGCCGCCTCCCTCCCTGGACCAAGATTTTGGAACACCACAGGACCCACTCTTTGGTTCAGGCCGATTCCACCCCAAACCATTATGCTTGACCTCCCCATGAGTCTCGTTCCATGACACATTGGTCAGAATAACGCTGGCCACGTCGACGCCATATTCTGGTCCTGCCATCTGCAGTTGATACGCAATTCCGACTCTCATCTGTGAACAGAACAGTTCTCCATTGCCTGTGTTGCCAGTTCTGGTGTTGTTGGGCAAACTGCAGTAGACGTTCACGTCGATGGCGAGGGGTGAGGATCGGTTCACGGTAAGGTTTACGGCAATGTATGTTCTCTCTGGTGAGACGTCGGCGCACTGTACCGGTACTGATGGGTCTTCCGTGTGTTCCGACTGTCTGGCGTGCTGTCTCAGATGCCTGTGTGAAGGGATTCTGCACGTGCTGTCGCACAACATTGCGGTCTTGTCGCCTTGTGGTAACCCTTGTTCTACCAGCTGAAGCCTGTAGATGGTCTGAACCTTGACCTGGAGGTGATTGACAACGGCTCGTCGCCCCCGTCCGTCCGTCCGTCGGTCCGTCGTCCACAATTTCAGCGATTTCCGATAATTACTGCCAGAGTTATGGCCCTTGATCACTTCAAAAAATCTTGTGAACGCTCTAGAGGCTAAAGTTAATATCCGATTGACTCTAAATTTATACACAGTGTTTAAGGTCATGAGACGAAGAAGCCTATTCATTTTCAGCAATTTCCGATTATTACTGCAAGAGTTATGGCCCTTGATCACTTCAAAAAATCTTGTGAAAGCTCTAGAGGCTAAAGTTAATATCCGATTGACTCTAAATTTATACACAGTGTTTAAGGTCATGAGACGAAGAAGCCTATTCATTTTCAGCAATTTCCGATTATTACTGCAAGAGTTATGGCCCTTGATCACTTCAGGACGCTATAGAGGATAAAGTTAATATCCGATTGACTTTAAATTTATACACAGTGTTTAAGGTCATGAGATGAAGAATCCTATTGATTTTCAATGATTTTCGATAATTACTGCCAGAGTTATGGCCCTTGATCACTTCAAAAAATCTTGTGGACGCTCTAGAGGCTAAAGTTAATATCAGATTGACTATAAATTTATACACAGTGTTTGAGGTCATGAGACGAAGAAGTCTATTCATTTTCAGCGATTTCCGATAATTACTGCCAAAGTAAGGGCCCTTGATCACTTTGAAAAATCTTGTGACGCTCTAGAGGCTAAAGTTATACTTATGGAAAGGATATGTTGACATAATTACTTGCATTATTTAAAAAAAAAATGATGCGTTTCCGGTGACCTTTAAATATTTTATGATCAAGAACGCCTAAAATTAAACATAAGGTCAATTTCGTGTGTAAAATGTCGATTTTGTGCATGGAATGTTGACATAAGAATGTAGAAACCATAACCGTTAGTTTAAAATATTGCTTTTCTATATAAAATGTTCAAACTGGAACGTAGAAAACAAAACCTAATTAATATTGTCCCATTAATTGGTCTTCCATAAATAATAATATGTAGAGTATTATTATCAAATCTACAATTACGAATAGATGAAGGTTAGGTTGTGATATTAATTAATTTCCATATCACTGAGCATTCATTGATCTTTCTTCATAAAAGTTACAGGAATAGCTAATTGGTAATTTATAGTTGATAGGTGAAAAACAAAACAACACCGAATACATGACCTTGTAGTGTTTATCTGTTATGCGCCTACATACATGTGTTTTTATACGCCCACATTTTCATGTGGACGTATAATATTATTGTCGTCGCCCCTATCCATCCGTCCGTCCGTCCACAATAAATTGTTTGTGGACACTCTACAGGTCACAATTCTTATCCGATTTTGACGAAACTCGAAATATAGGTTTATCTCCAAAAGATCTCGGTTGCTTTCGATATTGGCATGTATCGGATCGAAATTCATGGATTATGGCCCCTGATTGTACGAAAAAATCACGTTTTTAGCTCGTGGACCCTATTGAGGTCACAATTGTAATCCAATTTTGATGAAACTTGAAATGCATGTTTATAACCCAAAGATCTTGGGTTTTTTCGATATTTGCTCATATCGGATCGTAACTTTCTGAATTATGGCCCTCGACTGTACGCAAAATCGCGTTCTTAACTGTTTTTTAACCAAACTGTTTGATTGTGTTAATGGTAGTCCCTGTCGATTTGGAACCTTTTCTATATTACTGCAATGACCCCACAGAGTCCAGGAATAGTTAATTAAGTATTTTTCCAAAAGTAGTCCCAGAAAATTTGACCCTGACGGATACGATTGCTGATAATCTCGTACCAGCTCTTTACTGATTACATGTATTACACAATTTTCAGGAATAGTTATTATTGGCAAACAATTGGTACCAGGAATATAACATCTGACTGATAGGATTGCTGTATAATGTACTGTACTAGTCGCTCTTAAGACATTCATTCTTTCCCGCTTTTCATAAAATGTTTCAGGTTAGTATTGGGGTAAGGATCACCCCTGTTAATTTGCGGAGTCTTGGTTGATTACCTTTGCACAACGCGGAGTCTTGGTTGGTTAGTTTTTGCACAAAGCGGACGAAGTCGTTGGTGAACATTTTATTTTTGCTTAGTTCATTCAAATAAATTGTTTTTAAAACATTATAAAGACACTGGCTACCTGACCTAAGAAAACGTATACCTGGAAATGCTTAGTATGAAATATAGTATTACAATCATTCCTTAATGGGAATCAAATTTAAAAGTCTATAATTACAAATTGAGACATCAGGGTATTTATTATTTGACTTGACCACTGGAACGTGCCAAATAGACAGACATTTTTATAGTAAGGTAATCTTTGAGAAAATAACGTCTGTGCGCACTTTCTCATTGAGTGGGTTGAGTCAAAGTAAAATAAAACAATTGACATTATAATAGCAATCGACATTTATAAAAACTTTCAGATGTTCGCAAAATTGTATTTGCTTGATAATCGCTTTAAAAAAAAATTCTAAATAGCAAAAAATCTCCATTAAAACCGTCTCCTGGGGGCGGAAGGTTTCCTTACATGTTCTGTATAAGAGGCGAGGTAATTTTGTACAATGCACCTACTCACGAAGAGATTATATAAAATATAAGATACAAATGACATTTAATATCATATTATATATTTTTATCTTATTAAAATAATTGTTCTTTATCATGTCTGTTATTAACAAGAATTGCAATTCTACGCCGGAAGTATCGTGCTATCGATTCTGTAGGCAGCTAGATTCCATCTTCACTGTATCAAGATCTTTGAAATACATCCCATATCGTAACTACCTTAGCCGACCATTTGCTGAATAATGTATTAAAATCACAAAAATCAACGCCATTACGTTAAGTTTTTGAAAATCGGACCATACCATTTAAGAAAATCAGTGATCAGTTAGCCCGATATATAGCACGTCGACACGTGGTATTTGTAGGGCTTTTGTGGTCCCTATTCCGACCACAGTCCACTCCCCGAGATCAATATTTTGATATGCTCCCGTCTCCGTGTCTCGATTAGTCAGGCTATATACGCCTAATAAGCTTAACGGAAACACTAATTAAATGTTGTGGGTTCCAAATTAAGACGATTAAACTTATTAAGTATTATTGTTATTTTCGTTTCGCGATACAACCTAAACAAAATAGTAAAATATCTCCGAGTCACAAAATGACCCTTTAAAAGAAATGATTGTCAGATTCTAATATGCGTAATCATTCAAATCCATTTACCTGTATTCTATCTGAATATTTGTAGTGCCACTGAAAAACAGATAATAACTGTTTTTTTATGTTACGTACATAGTCGTAACATTACAAAAGCAAAATACAATCATGTTTAAAACCAATCACATATAATTACTGTTATCTTCTGTATTAACTACCATCAAGGATATGTCATGTTCAATTTAACATTACTGAAATATGGTTTATTGTACAATGGGGAATTCAGTTCGAATTTACAAAATAGATAAATGATGAGCATAACCTGCTAGACTTCCAGCATAACTTGAAATAACAGGAATAAAATACCGTGGAAGCACAAAATTAGACAATAGTTTGGACAAAGAAACATTTTATCAATGGATACAAAACCCTACATCTATACATCTACACGATTGGAATATTGTGCGTTTGGTAGTTGATAGTTTGGTGGTAATAGTTATGAACGTTGCTAGTGATGTTGCGGTTAATACTTGTTAGGAGAGGGGTTTTACATGGTAAAGAGACAATACTTTTACATCAAAATATGAAAAATCTGTTACTTCATTTTGTAGCAAATTAAAAACCGAAAACCCCTTTGGTTACCTA